TGAGTATTGATTCCCTCTTTTCTCAAAATAAAAATGTTAATTGGATTGATTCAAGTCAGACCGGTCACTTACAAGAGTGGCGGGTCTCACCACTTGGTGGCGGTTGGCTAGACCTGACTAGCATCAATCTTTTACAAATTTATAAATGATTCTGCGAGACTTCACTAGCTTCAATCTTTTCAAAATTATTTTCAAGATTTAAACCAGAAATTTTGTTTTTATTTTATATTTTCTCTTCAAAAATTCAAACAAACACAAACACTTAAACACACTAACAAGAGGACTGAAATATTCTCACATTTTTCTTTCAAAGAAAAGAGATTATACCATTCAAATTAATATTAAAAAAAAAAAAAAAGAGATCATACCATTCGAATTAATATGAAAGTTTTTTTTTTTTATTATGATAAGATTGATTAGATATTAAATTCAAATTTTGTGCAGAATTTATGCTATTTTGGCATGATTCTAAATTAAGTCGATCTGCTGGAGGATAAGGCAAATAGTGAAAGGAGATATGGGGTGGAGACAATGGGGTGATGACACGTGGAAGGTTGGATACAACCCCACTGACCCACCTTAAAATTCTATCTTGTTTGGGGGCCGGAAAAGCTACAGTGAAGAGAGAGAGTATTGGTAGGATAAGGCACTTGTGGTGGGGTTTTGCCCAACTCCATCTCTTTCTTTCTTCTCCATGCTTCTTCACAACTTGCATGTATATATGCCTATGCCCTGACGCAACTTTTTCTCTCACTCCTTTTGCCACAATCCTACAAGCATCTACCTTTATTAATTCACATAGATCTATATGTGTGTGTATGTGTGGTGTCCTAAAACTATCATTATTTTTACAAGAAAATTTTCACAATTGACTTATACTAGACAGTCTGGTGAGTCCACCACAACTGCTGTGGTGTGGGTCTATGACTTTGTCGGCCTCATTGTTCACCATGCATGCCCACAATTAATGCTCTTAATCATAATATTAAGTATAGCTTTACCATGAGTGAGCAAAACAAGTGCATCAATAATTGTTATGCTGATAATAATATCATTTGAGCAATTAGGATAGTAATTAATGTGATTCCACCTCACTTTAATCATATTTTGTCCTAATCGGAGCTACAAGTAATTTTAATTTCATTAGGTCACGTTACCAAACAGTGATTAATGATATGTAAGGAGACTGCAGAATGGTAAGTCATTTTCATTTCATATATATGTTATACACGTAAACACTTAAATATAATCCCGTAAAAAGTTTTTATATATAGATTACGATTTCATGTCTACAACTTTAGTTTTCCACCAAATTTGCTTTGTAGAAATGACAAAAACAGAAAAACCTAATTCACACAAGGAATTGCAGTATACGAAGCTTCAAAGAATTACCAACAAATAACTTTTAAGTACACTGAATTTGTTTCCTCATTCAGTGTCTCTAATAACTTCAAGTTTTGAACCTCCTACTTAAAAAATGAGACATCAAGCCATATAAGAAAATATATCAAGCTTCGTGGAAGAAATAAAAACCCTAATAATTAAAGTAATATTTTAGTCCAGTAAACAGTAATCATAACGGGAAGAAAAAATAGCTAATAAACAAAATGATGTTTGACCTTTACCTAAAAATTTGAATGTTTCAAATCAAGTGTCACTGTCCAGTGTTCTTTAAGTCACTAGTGATATTAATATTGTAATTGATAGCCACAACCTTTCCAAAAAAAAAGATTAAGCACTCGTAACTCTCATAGTTATAGAAAATGAAGGTAAATAGAGGCAAGTGCATGTAAAAATTCAAACCGCCCACGTATATAGTAGCGTAATTCTTAATTCTGAGCAATGACCAAGAGGTCACCTGCATGTGGTTTGGGGGGTGGTTGCATATATCTGTCCAAAAGGGCTTAATCCCGACCCCAAAATGGTAAGGATCTGTCCATTACCAGTTTTTTTTTTTTAAAAAAAGAAGACGTTGAACCTGGCCTTAGTTGACATATCTATTGGGAATTAACATGGTCCACACAGGCACTATGCATAGAATTTCTTTATAAATAGAGGGTTTGGGAAGTCCTTAGGTCATCATTCAAAATTAAGTATTATATATCATTCTTGATATGTACAATAGAGGAAGGAGAGGCATATAGGTGATGCTGTTGACAGAAGATAGAGAGCACAGATGATGAAGTGCATATATGGATCGAGTCTCTTGCACCTCACTCCTTTGTGCTCTCTATTCTTCTGTCATCACCTTCAGCCCCTCACTCCAATATTGTATGTATATATATACACACACACACACACACACACACTTGTATTACTAGCTACTACTGCATATTATCATATATATCATCTCTCTCTCTCTATATATATATATAGATTTGTATTGTTTGTATAAAATAGGGGAGAGCAGGCAGTGGTGATAATATTTACAGATGATGGGGAGCACAAATGATGAAGTGCAGAAAGCCCTACTCCTCATTCTTTTGTGCTCTTTATTTCTTTTTTATGTCATCGCCCACCGCTAGCGCATGCTCGTACCATTACTTTTATTATTATTGTTGTCATCGTCATCATCGTCATCATTAATTACTTTCATCATTATTAAGCAGAAGAATTAAACATCTTGTTCCTCTTGCATATATCTGCTCACAGCTCTCTCTCTCTCTCTCTCTAGAGTGTTTCCATATATAAAATGTATGTATATAGCACTGTTGTCTAGCAACCAAATCACAAAAGATAACAATATATAGTTGAGCATATATTATTTTTAGATCTCTTCTAACATACACATACTATGCAAATTAGAGAGATATATGCCATTCAATTTTTCAAATTGATTTTTTTTTTTTTAGTTGTTTTGCTTTATCATTTTCATCTTCCATTCATTTGTTTTCTCTATTATAGGGTAATTTAGTATTATTGGTTAATTTAGTTTACAAATAAAGATGAAATTATGCATGTTTTTCATTTCCATTTCCATTGTTGTGCTTGCTTGCTTCTGTTAAGTTCATTAAAAATCGATTTAATTAAGCTCTTCTCAGGATCTCATGTAGCACTCAAACTATATATTTTTCTCTTTTCTTAATTAAACTCCATTAAGTTAATTGCTATTGATCGGAGATTCATAGTTGGTTGTTGATGCTATGGCCTCTCGCACTTCCTATACACCTAACATATGCATATATGTTTATGAGGTAACTGGCTTGATAGACCATTTTCATTGAAATTTTCATCTTTCAATTTCTTACCAAATATATATATAAGCTACAATTTCATGGGTAATCTATCATTTCAAAGGAAATAATGTTTTTCTAATTTCTGAATGTCTGGTAAAAAAAATTTCCCCATAAATTTATCACTGCCAAGAAATATTCATAATTTTTTTTTCTTTTTTTTCTTTTTTTTTTCAGTAAGTAAGAAATATTCATAATTTCGTATTCTGTAATTATATTTTCATAGTTGGTACTTGTTTTCTCTTGGTTTTAACAGGTAACTCACCTTTCATTAAAAAAAAAAAAAATTGTTCAGTTTTTTAAAAGAACATTTCTCAAATTCAAAATTTTAAATGCTAGGTATTATATTAAAGTGACACAATTAATTAATTAACTCCAAGGACCTTTCAGAGCAGTCATTTAATTAGTTGCACCGTCAGGGCATGCTTCTGGTTTTCTTTTGTTATATATATGTAGCTTGTAGCATGTAGCATGTTGATGGTAATCAACAAGCTAGGTTAAGGTATATATATATATATATATATATATATATATATATATATATAGCCAAATTTCTTGGTAATAAGTGAGCATTTCATGTTCAATGATTTGTAATAATTGAAAAATAATAATCGAGGGTATGGGTCCTTAATTTTGGTGGATTCCAATTGGGCATGCACTCCTTAGCAGTAAGATATGTATGGCTTTCTAAGTACATATGTGTGAATTATTATAATAATCAGTTGTCCCTTTCTTATTTATCTTGTTTGTACTTTCTATCAATTTACATGTGTATTGTCTACTGACATTCTCCAGTGAAGGAGAGAAACAAGGAAGCCTCCATGCCTAATTAAAAAGACATGCACTCTGTGATTCTGATTTGTCAATTTTAGTGGAAGATGAGATATAGAGAGCATCCAATAAGATTAAGTGATTTCTGATAGAACCTACAACCCATCCATATTGGTCCCATCAATGTCGGGGAAGATCCTATTTGTCAAAGTTATTGATAATCGATAAATCAATTGAAAGGTTGCATCGACTAATTAATTAATATTGATCGCATCAGTGTTGAAAAGACCTTAACTATCAAAGTTATTGATAATCGATAAATCAATTGTAAGGTTGAATGAACAGTTCAAGCTCGACTAATTAAGAGCTCGGTTGGGCACAAGTTTAGGTTTGACATCAATGGGAAAATAAAATGGAGCACCTAATTCTTACTTTGAAAGAAAGAGAGTTGGTGGTTAAAAAGCCTTCTTTCTCCTTTAGAGATCATGTTATTGAAATAACTAATTTCAGGTTGCCCAATTGGTGGGCTGAGTTAATCTTAGTGTAAGTTGGGCTATCCATATGTGGTTACTTGGGCTTGTTCGTGGGTTACATAATGCTTGACAAGTTTGTATTTTCTTCGATCATGGACGGTTTGTGTTGTGGGCCTCATTCTTTTAGGCCAGATCTGCTTTTGTAAATACTAAATACATCAATATATTTTCTGAACTTTCCAGAAAAAAAAAAAGATAAAAACCTTATTTCAATAAATTCTTTATTGGTTGGCTTTTAATTTTATGGACAAACTCTAAACATCATAGTTTGTAAGCTTGGTTTTTTCAGCAACAGTAATGCTACAATGTCCTATCGATTTTTTTTTAGATGAATCCAATAGATAGCGTCCAATAAAATTCTTTATTTGTAATTGATAAAAGTAATTTCTCTCCCCCGCTTAGAGTATTTTCTATCACATCTCAATGTGTTAAATAAAAATTGATCGACACTTTTATTATTTTCTTTTCAGTAAACAAGCTTACGGTAAGCTTTAACCTTTGGAGTTTTCTAATTTAAATGTATTTTCCTGCCCAAAAAGTCCATATTCTTCATTTACATGTAAAACATTGCAACAGCCGTTGAGCACTCACTATTGTAATTGATTAAAAAACTAACACAAGACAAAAAAAATTTAAAAATAAAAAATCGCACTCGCTATTGTAATTGATTAAAAAACTAACACAAGACGAAAAAATAAAAAATCACAATAGTAGAGTTCCAATGTGAAATTGAAGCTTCTAATTAGGTTTAATTGCGCTGGAGAAGGACAAATAATTCGGCAATCTTCTCGAAGCTTGTGTGATCAAGAGTGAAGGTCTCCAAGAGTTTGTTGGTGAAACGATGAAAGAGCTCATCAATAATCTCACTTCCGAAGTTGTCTTTGATAAGTCCTTCCCAAGCAGCTCTAATATGAGGCACAAACATTTTGATGTCAGAAGCTGCTTCTTTCATTTTAGGGTCGCGAACAAGAGCTTCCATTTTCACAATTCTGAAACATCCATTTTCCTCTATCAGCTCCTCCAACTCTTGTTGGGTTGGGTTGTACTTGGGGAAGTTGAACGAGTCCACTTTATCTTCACTCACCAATCCCTTCAATTAGGTCATATTCAATTTCAGTTGAGTCACAAAGACAGTTCATCTCTTATATTATTTACTATGGGGTTTTTGATCAATTTCATACAAAGAAGGAATATTTTTTTAAAAAAGTAATATTACTTGCCTCCATATATATAAAGAAGAACATCCTTTTTACAATTGATGTGTCATATTCATTGGACCGTCTGTTATATATTTTAAAAATAAGATTATAAATAAATAAGATAAAAAAACATATTTTATTTTGGTGACGAGGTGATGGAAGGTCTCTTAGAGTATTTCATAACCTATTATCGGGCACATTTAGTCATGTGTTCAATAACACATGTTTCTTGAGAGTGGACTCAAAGGAATTCGAACTCCCAACCTTCCGAATGTGAGGTGAGAATTTTTGCCATTATTTCTTTTGGAATTAAATAACATATGGTATATACTTTTTTAGATTGGTCAAACAAAACCAAATTTATTAAGCCAAGTTTTGTTTAAAAAAAGAGGTTAAATTACACTGAAACCCTTTTAGGTTTGACTAAATTATCCACGGTAATCGAAATAAGACATAATATCATCGTTTACCCCTTAGGTTTGGGGTGACATCATCTGGTCGGGCATTGCCGTGCACTCCTCAAATTAACTACCAACCTCTGGAATGTATTGTCTTTTCATGTTGTACCAAATTTTTTTTTTTCCTTCATATTATTAAGTCATTTAAGGGCATTAACAAGGGTGGACAATGATATTAGCCACTATTTGGATATAATTAGGTCAACTATGAGAGACTGTGAATGTAATTTATCCAAATAAATAAATACTGGGTAAATAAATTTGGAAGAACCCTTACTATTTTGGCCATGTCAAGGAGAGTGGCTCCTATAAGATCCGCAAGTGCAATAATAGGGCTGTGGGAAGGAAGGATCCCAACTGCCGGACATGGGATGAGAAGTGCCATGAGACCTCCACAGACAAGCTCTTGTGCCCTAGCATTAAAAAAAGACTTCATATCTGTACCATATTGAGCTGAGTAAGCCTCCATAACTTGAGTTGGAGCATTTGTATAGTAAATCCTCCCCTTGTTCCATGCAGGTGATTGCTTGTCAACCACCTCCTTTGGGACCTCGGAGAGCCATTGAAGTGCATAAAAAGAGTTGATGAAATGGAGAGAGGCGTCCGGGAATAACCGGCCATGAAAAGAGCCTGGCACACCAGCTGCAAAGTATTGCCTGTCATGAGGCAGAGACTTGAAGAGGGTGTTGAAATCGTTGGAATTATGGTCATTGAAGAATGCTTGGAATTCTATGGCTTCTGAAGGAACACCATGAGATTGGCACTTGAGTTTAATGGATTCCACGATGTTTGACACCGCGATGAATGTGTTAGGTCCAACAGAGCATCCCAAATCTGCAACACTGAATGAATGATTTGAAGAAGTAATTTTGAATTGATTTACATCAAATAGCTCGGCAATCGCCTCACTGATCATGGAGTTGGCAAGGTTCACTCCCCATCGCTGCAAATTGCAATAGTGATTAGTATTTCCGTGATCATGCTAGCTAGTGCATAATTAGATTAATGAAGAGCAGTGATACTTGGACCCAACTCTTAAAAGTAAAATTGTCTAACCTACAAGTTTTGATTGGTCATCTTTACGAATGGTAAGGAAGTGTAGGATTTTACTTCCTTATATTTTGTATATATGACTGAACTAAAGTTTGAATATTACAAGTTGAACGTGACGAAATCAGTCCAAAAAAAAAAAAAAAAAAATTGTATCCATGTAGAAATGTATACCTGATAAGTGGAATTATGAGTGTAACTATGAAGGCCATCTCCACCATTCATGGGTTTAGCAGATGTATCGGCCATCTCTCTCTCTCTTTCTCTCTCACACACACAAACACAGTGAAATAATAGTGTGACTCTGCGTGTATATATACTAGTTTTCCTACAGAGTCATATGCTGGCTTTGGGTAAATGAATCATTTGACAACAACTAAGAATATTGTGTAGCAGCAGGTATATTCTAATTAACCTCAAACCTAGGAGTTGCAAATGAGCATCCAAAAGAAAAATAATAGCTTGGCTTGCCGTCTGCAGGTCAATTTTTCTGATTCCTAAACATCTATCTGGTGGCGATAAGGCCCGGCATGACTCCGGGGATACAAATAAAAGATAATTTTGTTGGCATCGCTAATGTTCTGATACTCGTTTTCCAAATATCACCACTCTTGTATTTAATATTGGGGAGTCGGAAGTAACATTTGGCTTCTATGAGGATGTTGAGATCCTAATTTGGGTGGACCACTTCCAATGTTTAGCATCAATGAAGGACAAATGTGGGGAAATATGGTTCTTGTGTTCGTTCAAGTCCAATCACTCTGCCAATAATTTGGTGCAGGCCCAAACTAGTATGGGGAGGTGATCGCGGCCATTTATTTAGTGGACATAATTGGCATGGTCGAATCAAAATTGGCCCACAGAGTCCATGACTTGAATTAAAAATTAAAATAAAAATTAATTAAAATTTTAAAATAAATTTCTTTTAATTTTAAAATACTGATTCGATGCAAAGTTTTTAATATTTGTATCACCAGTTGTATATCTGCTGTAGAATTTTAAAACATGGATCACTGGCTTGTACTAGTATACAACTTTGCCCCAAAATTTAATTATTGATTATTATTATTTGTTTTCCTTAGGTCAAAAGATTAACCAAATTATCCTATCACATCGCTTCATGACTCTGATTTATTTATTTTAAATTTGCCAGAAAGAAATTAAAATATGTAAGTTCAGATAAAATTATGCTGTGCATGGCTCAACATGTTAATATCATTTATGGTCATTTTCAATATCAATCCTGTGTATTTTGCTCTTAAAAATAAAGTTTATCCAATAATTTATTTTAGGAGACTTCAAAGATGATCGGTACTTTTTCACCTAATAGATGTGTGAATCTATTTTCCATGATCTACAGTGCTCACATGTCACATTTGCAAGTATATACATGTATATACAAACACACACACACACACACACACACATATATATATATGTATAAGCACACATATATAGACGCATTCTTGTGGGTGGCAGTGCATTGATCTTCCAAGAGTAATATTCTTGTGGATGACTTAAAAGCTTGAAAGATGATTGGTCAATAGAAATTCCACTATTTTCGGCGTATACGCATGTTTGTTTGTGTCAACCGGACTCAGCCCCTACATGACCGTCCTCAAGTCTTGTAGGTTGCAGCTTTATAACGCCATAGACAATGTTAACATTAATCAACAATTAAACTCAATTTAGTCCATCACTTTTAAAGTCTGATTGAGTGAAAGACTGGTTTTATTTGCTATACGTACACTGGTACCGGTGTACTGTTTAATAAATGAAAACTTATATTTAATATATTATAAATATGATCGTATTTAAATAACATACAAGTGGATAGGTGTATTTAAATACATTGAAAAAAATTTTCAACCCGCTTAAATTTTATCTCAATAAATTAATTTTAAATTTCAACAATATATTAAAAAATTACAATATACTATATCAAAAATGCGTTATAGGAAAAATACAGACACATGAATTACCATTATAACCTACCACATGAGTTGTTAGATTAGTGGACTAAAGTAGTCTTAAAACTAAATTCATCTAGAAGTATGAAAGGTCAATCAAAACAGAAATTAATACTCTATTATTTTGACCAGGTGATTAAACCTTTCCTTCCTTTTAGGATTTGAACTCCAAGTGGGCCAAAAACTGGTGATGACGTGTCTGAGTCGCATATTTACCTCATCGGAGAAAAATAATGATTTTTTTCTTCTTAATTCACTACTCGTATTACGGAAAAAATGCAAGCAAAAGGATATATGACACAATTTAGCAAACAAATAAATTATACATCATTCCCCTTTCTCTATTTAATTCTTTTTTTCTTTTATTTCATCAAAAATAAATTTTGACAAGTTCCTTTTACTAATTAAAAAAATACAACTCAACAAACAAAAATTGTCTATTCACAGTTGATGGTCCAATATTCTATAATTACAAAATCAGAAAAATAATAAATAAAGATGATAACATTTTTTTGAAATAAATTTAATCGTCCTATCTTATAAAAATCAGACAATTTTTTCTTGTTTGATAAAAAATTGATTTTGAGGAATTTCTTTTTCTTTTAAACATCAGAGAAAATACGAGGAAATTGCATCCTTTTTCCCCTTTCAGTTCTCTTTATTTTCCTGGTTGGTTCCACAATCGAAACAAAGACCAGATCTAATAAAAGTGAAGTTGTTGAAAATTTATGACTAGTCAATCATCCGTTTCAATTCCAAAGTGACCAAAACAAGTGAACAAGAAATTTGGTTGAGTGCTAACAAACATAACCGTACCTTTATTAAGTACCGAGTTTACTACTAAGAGGTTGGGGGCAAGGATCCTCAGTAAGAAAAATTATCTCCAAATATCTACAAGTATTAATCTCACGACTACTAAAGCATCACATCAACAAATATTTGACTCATTGAATACACTAAGGGCTCGTTTGGCATAACTTTTGCTTCTGCTTTTAGATAAAAGAGAAAGAGATCATAAGTTATCACTTCCATTTGGCTGATGTGTTAGTGTTGGGAAATTATATTTTAGAAGAGCTTTTAATATCAGAAAAGTTTTTCTGAATGTGTGGCAAAATATTTGTTAAAGCTCTTTTATTACTGAAATAATTATTTTACCCTTAAATGGAGTGTTATTTTGGATTGTTTGGTAACATAGTAGTTAACTGTTTTTTCATACCCAACTCTTTTCTAAGCACAGACAAATTCAATATAATATAATTTAATTTCACATACCAACAATACATTGTGCTTAAAAAAAAATTACCAATTCATCTCATCATTAATATAACAAAATAAAATATTTATCTAGGCATAAGTTTCGGATAACTCCCATCTTAGTAGTACTTGTGGTCGAAATATCAATTTTTTCAATCAACAAGATGATATTTTCTCCTTTATATGGTGCTAAAAAGCCCATTTATATTTGGATAGTGAACATCAATCAAGTAATATTTATCTACAAAATAATAAATTCACTGATAATGAAAAATTATTATCAATATCAAAAAGTATAATAATGATAATAATAATAATTAAGAGAATGTAAACACCATTTGACAAATTTTGTAGCTGGATCTCGATATGTCCCATGTATGCTCCGATGTGTTAATATAATATATACACATGTACACACGCACGCGCGCGCGCGCGCGCACACACACAACACATATATATCTTATAAACTAGAACTTTTAACAACATTCAACTCCTATATATATATATATGTAACACATGAAATATAAATCAAATCCTAACAAAAAAAATTGGGATTTGAGAAAAATTTTTATCCATGAAAAAAATTGGATTTTGATACCTAATTAGCAATATATTGAAGAAGTAGAAAAATTAAAGAATGTTCCTGTTCAGAAAGTGCTCTTAACCGTTGTGATTGATCCTATTTTTCGGATAGTCAATCACTAGAAGCCGGCATAGGGTGGTTTGGTTTGGGGGGCAAGACAGAAACAATTACTATCAAGGAATTGGGAGAAGCCAGGACCAGGATTGATTTATCAAGTCAAATGGAGGGGGAAAGCCTAATCAAGCAAGAGATAAAAATAAAAAAAAAAAAAACAAAAAAACAAAAAAAAAATTCTTATACTGTGCTAGGCCCTTAAAATTTTACTTACTTCTCAGAGACTATCATTACCTAGATTGATATAGAGAGGGAAAAAAAAAAAGGGGTGTAGCAGACCTTGGTAGAAGAATCAACGTAATTACCGAATATGATGATAAACTTTTAGATCGACTGCGCTTGAGTTGTAAAAATTGTCGTTTGATTTGCGTTAGGGTTTTGGAGGAAGACGTCTTTTTATAATGGCATATGTTGTAATTTTATTTTCTCACTGTCTAAATAGAAGGGTACGCTTGGAATATTAAAAGTTTCATTAAACTCATAAATAGCTTTCTATGTCTTTGAAAGAAGAGCGTTTTAGAAAAGCTGGGGGTACACAGCTTCTTCAAAACGCTCTTCTAAGGTACAAAAACTCTTCTAAAAAATTAGCCAAACACTACTCAAAATAGCTTTCAAGTCCAAAAAGCCAAAAGTAGCGTTTGAAAAGCCAATCCAAACATGCCCTAAAAGATATGGCACTTCTTAAAATATTTAATTATGTTAAATTACAAGTTTACCCACATAAAAATACTTTTTTTCTCTCTTCCCCTCTCTTCCTTCTCTCTCGTATATATATATATATATATATATATATATATTTAAGAGTCTGAATAATTTTGTTGATTGCCATCACCAAGCATTGGAATTATTAATTGATTTGAAGGCTTCAAGCTGAACAGTTTTGTTGATTGAAGGTTTGAAACATTTGTTCGCCACTTTTCAACGGATTCTTGTGAACCTAATTCGATGCGACACACAACTCTCTGCAACGACATAGAAAGAGAGAAAGAAAGAGAAGGTTTGAGAGAAAGAGAGAGTTGTCAATGGCGGAACAAGAAAAGGAGCAAATTGGGTCTGTTGTTCAAGCGTTGATCCCAAGCTGCGTGCAATATCATCAGCGAAATTGACTGATCCGGTTTTGGGGTTGTTGAAGGGAATGAGGAGAAGAGGGAAATAAAGTTTTTTTTATGTGGGTAAATTTGTAATTTAACATAGTTAGATATTTTAAAAAGTATCCTAACTTTTAGTGTATTTAATGAGTCAAATAATTTATTGATGTGATGCTTTAATAGTAATAAGATTAAGGGTAAAGTACAAAGAGACCCCCTGAGGTTTGAGGAAAGAACAGACAGATGAAAGTTGGCTTGTTTTTGGACAAACACACCTCCTTGTGAAATTTGCCCTCCAAACAGAGCCTTAAATCAAGTGAAAAGTCCATTTTACCCTTCACTATTTTATTAATTTTAATTATAAAATATTTAAAACTTAAATGGCCAAAATACCCTTTTCATATATACTTATACACACACACACACACACACACACACACACACACACACACACACCAACAACCAGTCACCACCGCCCCCAATCTCCACCAACCCCCAACCTCCATAATCACCACCCACTAAAGAAGACGCCAAAAAGGAGCTCTGCCACTGCCACCTCCTCGACCTCACCGGAGCTCAGCCTCGGTTCGAGCGGCGAACTCGGCCTTGGACAAGCCGGGTTTGACTGGGATTGACAGAGACGTTCCCCACGTCGGCGTCTTTCATTCTTGACAGCGGTAGAGAGTTGATGTTTGAGCCTGCAGGGAAGATTTGAGGATGAGATCGGTGCCGCCGCCACCACCACCCTCTTCCCCTCTCTCATACACACGCACACACACACACACACACACATATATATCACCCCCTCATCTGTGCACATCACCATCCCCAATTCTCACATTCGCACGGAAAAGGGCTCTAATTGGACTCAAAACGGACGGCAGAAGCGATGGCCACTTCAGCCTCCTCGGCCTTGCAGGTGACGGTCGCCGGACTGTGCTTATCTGAACCTTGTCGTCATCGGAGCTTGGTCCTCGCCGGATTGTTTTTGCTCATCGATCTCTTGTTGCTCGGTTTCTAAACTTCGCCACACTATTCAGTCCGTGGCCGCATCGTCATCGGAGCTTGGTCCTCACCGGCAATTTCAGGGTTTCACCGGTGCTTCTGGGTTTCGCCGCCACTGTCATAGTCATCGCCGCCACCCCACTGTCGCAGTCATTGCCGATGCTTCTTCCTCTCTCTCCTCTTCACCTCATCTCTTCAACTATGGCCGCCCCTCTCTTCCCCCTCTCTCTACACCCACCACCGCGGCCACAACCACCTTCCATCTGATCTCCCTTCTCTCTCCTCTGGTGAACTGTATAATATACGCAGGCGGGTTCGGGTTCGGGTTTGGTTTCGGGTTTGGGTTTAATCAAAGGGTATTTAAGTCAATTAAAATGTTAATTTTATTTAAAAGGGTAATAAAGTCAATTCACCATCTTCAGGGTCTCTTTGTCCATTTTTCAAACTTGAAGGGGTCTCATTGTCCAAAAACATGCTAACTTTCCTCTGCTTGTCCTTTCCCCAAACCTCGGGGGGTGTCAATGTACTTTACCCTAAGATTAATATCTATAAATACTTAGAGGGAATTTTTTTTTTTTTTTAAGAGAACCCCTTCCCAGAGGTTGGAACAATAATTTGATTCCCCGTGACGAATGAACACAAATGAGAATGAGGTGGTGAGATAGACTCCTGAACCAACATTCTGTAGTACGTATTATTTTAACATCAAATAATTGATCCTCATACCTAAAATTTTAACTGCTAATAAAAGGTATTTAATGATTTCCAAATTTATAACCATATTCTTTGGACGCATTTGTCGGTTTATTTAATGATTGGCCTTTTAACTTAGTACGTAGTATATGTCGTACATAGATTAATTATTATGGTACTGTACCATTCACAAAGGAGATAATTTAGCTAGTTAGTAAAGTACAATATCCTGAATAATAGTGGTGAGAATGAAAAAGCTGATTTAAACAGTGGTGAGAATGATTTATCTACATTACGCGTCAGGCACATGATGAGTTGCTCATTGCCAGCGCCAGCAAAAACGCGGCCCACGCCACCAGCACCGCCTTTCTCCCCTCAATATATATATATATATATATATATGTAGATAGCATATCTACATATATGTATCTGTATGTACTACAAAATGGTTTGACAAACCTTGACTAGAGAGAATGATGCATCCCTCGTTAAAAAAAAAAACAAGCTTTCTCATTCATAACCCACCAACAAATAATATGATCACATGAAATGTCAACCCTTCTTGATCAATTAATGTAATTAGTCAAATTTATGTAATTACTGTCAAAAGTTTGCGAGCAGGTCTGGCTAATAAAATGTGACTAATTTTAATAAAATTTCTATTATCAAATATGTAACATCCTATATTAAAAGATATTATTATAAAATTAACAATAAAAATATTTTAAAAAATATTGTTACAAAATAAATTAAAAAATAATTTATTTAATTATAAAAAATATTTATTATAATGAATCACCAAACATCTAATATGTTTTTTATTTTATTTTATTTTATAGAAAGCAATCTTTTAACCGTTTTATTGATAAAAACATTTTTTTTTTATATATATTCCAATAACAATCTCAAATGTACTATTAGTGTATATATAGAATATTAAATTACATTTCTTTATATTCCAACAACAATCTCAAAGGTACTATTAGTATATATATAGAATATTAAATTTACTAGTCATTATTCACATTGTCTTAAAGAAAAGTTACTGACATTTTTTACTTGTGTTTGATACATTTTGAAAAGTCAAATTTGAAAGATGTGGAGTGAAGGTACGAGACTCACCACATAATGTCACGGTGTTACAAGTGGGATCCACATAGCCACATTAAATTTGAATGAAGTTAAAATATGTTTAAAAAAATAAAAATACAACATTACTCAATAACTTAATATTTTAAATAAATAAACAAACACACACCCACTACACAATAATAAAGCCCTCACATCGTTCTCACAACCTCACCTTCCGAATATCACAACAATATTCATTTCCTCGAATATGAGAAAGCGTGGACTCAACTCTTTTAGTATATAGTATATAAGTAGCTCATTACTTCTAAATACCAAAAACAAATACTAGCAGTAAAAAAGAATGATTTTAATAGTGTAGAAATTAATATGAAATTTCAACAAAATGTGGGCTCCACACGGATTAACAGAGGAAAGAGTGTTTGTGTCTCCAACTAGACATATGTACTCTCCAAACTCCATGTTTTTTTTTTTATATGTTTTCATTTCATACTTTCGCCATACGCGGAATCAAAAAACATTTCAAGTGTCAACCCATTCCACACAACTGGCTCCGAATCTTCTACTCAATACTTTTCTCGGAAATTGACGTCCATAACAGACTTTTTCAGCCTTTTCCCACCCATTCCTATATATATATATATAAACACACACACACTTCGCATACACCCCCAACAACTTCCAAAACAGAGTTCTCTGTTCTTATTCCCAAACCATTCTCTTCAAACTCTCCTCCTCCTCCTCCCTCAATCTCTCATCATTTCTTCTTCTTTCTTTCTCTAAATTTCTCTCTCTCTCTCTCTCTCTCTCTCTATATATATATATATATATATATATATCATGGGCAACTACATATCTTGCACACTAACAGCCCCAACAGGCAAGCACACAAACAGAGCAATAAAAGTGATCTTCCCAACAGGCCAAATCCAACAATTCTACCAACCCATCAAAGCAGCAGAACTAATGTTAGAGACACCGAATTGCTTCCTCGTTAATTCTCAGTCCATTCAAATGGGTCGGAGATTTTCGGCTCTGAGTGCCGATGAAGATCTGGAGATGGCTAATGTTTATGTGATGTTTCCCATGAAGAGATTGAACTCTGTGGTGAGTGCAGCTGATATGGGTGTATTGTTCATGGCCGCTAACTCGGCTGCCAAACGGATTTCCGGTGGGAACTTCAGGATCTTGCCGGAGGGCGGTGAGCCGCCGGCAATGACAGTGAATGAATCTGCAGGTGTGCCCAAGTTGAATCTGGATGATATTGAAGAGTACTCGTCGCTGGAGTTCAAGCACAGGTTGTCTATGTGCAGGTCAAAGAAGCCATTGTTAGAGACTATAGCAGAAGAACCAGTTTGTTCGAGATGATGAACAAAATATATTTATTAGTCTAGGTGCCTGCGTGTTTTGGTGGTGGGCGGTGTTTTTTTGTATACTCGTTTTCTTGCCAAAAATGGGAGAGGAAGAATTAATGTGTCTGTGAATTTATTGAACAATTTCAGAATTACAATTAACAAAATTTGTGTGGTTAATTTCTTTCTATTTCAAGCGGATTCATTTTTGCTTTTGTATCGTATTTATGTTTTTCTTGTATATATATAAATAAATAAATAACTGAAAATCGAATGAATGCACATCCTCATGACATCAACACGTAAAAGATAATATATTTATAGGTGCTGAATCCGCTGATATGCTAAACAAGTCTAATGTTAGAGGATACTGTTCCATGGAGTATGTGCAGCACCCATGTCTATATTGAGGCTTCATTTTGGGGAGTCGGTTTATACAAGTTGAGCTATTGCCGTTCATTTGGTCACTACCTAATAGTCTAAGCTTCTGAATTAAGTGGCAAAAATTCGGTCGGATCTATTACAAATGGATATCACAACTAATCATCACTTCATTTTGATGTAACTGCAATGATGCAGCATTAGTATTACCCAATAGATTAAGTTAGAAAGTAAATGTTTGGCGGTCACTTTTTCAAACTATTTATTATATAATAAAAAAAATTTAGTGCTTAATCTTTTGCAGATGAGTGAAAATTTGTATGATGAGTCTAAATTGACTAAAAAAAAAAATTCAACCTTCGTATCTAAATTTTAAACCTATAATTGGCATAAGGGGACTTGATAAGAATAACGAAATTAAACACAGGGCTTCTTGTATCTCAAAGATATCAGAGAATAGGCATATCAGCAGTGAAACTAGGGGCTACTACACCTTTGCTCTATTAGAATGGAGAAACTTAATGCCTTCACATGATTTGTTAACTAAAATATGAATAGGTGAACCATATAGATGCAATTTTAAAACTATATATGACTGCCCTATTTTTATATTTAATTATTGAATTGAGGCATTTTTTTTGAGAAATAAAATTATAAAAACTCTACTTAAGCCGAAGTGTTGGGCCGAGAGCATCCCAGAAGCCATCATTATTCTTTGGGCTTTTGTGGTCCATATCAGATAGTATAACGCCACACACAGAGAGAGGCACACCCAAACAGGGCCTTACAAAGTGCCTGATTTATTTATTAAAGGTGTTATTGAGATTATTCGTGGATGGTTACGAATATACGAGTAATAAAATAGGACCAGCCTCACCCCTTACTTGGGTGTGTGAGTGTCGACTTGTCAAATTAAAGCATCATTTTGGAAGGTAAAAGTTTGTGGGGGTGATAAAATCACATCAAACTTAAGTAATATAACACATAAACATCTGAACAACTTGAGAAAAAAAAAAGGTTTTATTATACATATGACCATCGGTTTAAATTTTGCTTTCAGAAAGTAAGATAATTTTATTATCAAATAAATTAATAATTCGTTTGATAGGAGTGAAGAAAGCGCGGTGGAGGAAAGATTAGGAATAGTAAATAAATTTGGAACTTATTTTAAAAATAATAAAAATAAAAGAACGACAAAAAGGGATGAAAAAAAGATTTAGATGAGTCAATCTTCAATCTTCATAAATTTTCGTCTATCCAATGGACAGAAGATGGAGTAGAGGGAAGAGAAGCAAGAGTGTTTTAGACACTTTAAATTATAATCCTATCATTCATAATTATTAGATAAACATAATATTGACACGCACAAAATCAATAATTTTATGTTATTTAAATGTTAATAAGGAGTATGTTTTATAGATTTTTTTGGTGCTGATCCAATCATCATTCCAAGTCAGCAATCAACACCATGTCATTGTCCATGGGGGAAAAGGAGGAGATAAGAAAAAGAAAATAATCCACACCAGGGCGTGCTTGCTCCATGCTCAATCCTTGTATTTATGTTTTTGTTATTTCTTGTCATTCAATAAAATTAATTAATTGTGTGTATTTATTATTTTTGTTTTAATATTTTAGTTTAAGGAGTTGATGAAATCACTATATTTAATATTTAGATAAATGTATATATATATTTTTGTTATATTAATATAGTAGTTTTGTAAATCTTAATAATATACATTTCTCAACGAATTTTAGGCCAAAGTGTAAAGGACTGATTCTTTGTGACGGTCGATTAATGGACATACGGGAATGTCGGCCAATATTTACTTAGAAGCTGGTGGAAATAGAGGGAGTGTTCTTTGTGATATGCCACTTAGTGTACATAGTAATGTAGTGTAAATACGTAGAATAGTTGCCACTATTTATAATACATTTTCTAGAGGAATAAGGATTCTTTGTGGTGTTCAAATAATGTACATACAAAGAATGTCGGCCACTATTTATTCTCTTTAGCAAGTAAGAGGTAGTGAAAGAAGTGGTCAAATAGATTTTACAAGAACAGGAAATTAAACTATTTATTTATATAGATATGTGGTGGTGGATTCTCTTCACTTGAGATTTTATTTCTTTCTTGTTTTAATTTTATTTTACTTATTCGTGACAAAACCCCAAATTATTGTTTTAAAATAATGTGTCCCCCTGGTGTAGGTCACGGAACTCTCAGTGCTCGAGCATTGGTTCACAAACAGCATTGTGCTCGAGCATTGGCTCGTAAAATCAGTCCGACAGGTCTGTGTCGGGACAGTTATCTATCGTTTTGGGTCTTATAACATGCATGTATGTCCCAATTGATTTTCATAAATCATAACCAACATAAATTAGACATTCTGAGGTATTAAAATTTAAGATTAACATATTAATTTGCAAGTTCAATCATCCTATATATATATATATATATATACACACACACACATATACATATCAATTACAGACCAAATCACAGCAAATAGATGGATTAAATTTATTGATATTAATCCTTAAAGTCTAGCAAAAGATGTAAGGTTTATCGGTACAAAGGGGAGGAGGAGAACAAATAACTTGCTTTGTGATTTTTGGATTGAAAATCAATTATAACTTTTCCAGTCTCCTTCTCCAACTCTGGCAACCTTCAAGTTGCCGCCGGCCACTCTTCCTTGTTTCCGTCGCCTTCTCCTTCCTCCCTCTCTCTCTCTCGTGTATCAATTCTCGCTGCCTCTCTTTGCCTTAGTTTTCTTTCACGTAAAAGAAAACCCTCCAAACCAATATACACATATATATTTACATGTACTAAATCCTACCCTAAGTCAGGTTAACTAAATCAATTAATAATAAAAGTAATAATAATAATAACTAAACAGTAATAATAATAGTAATATATACACATATACATACGTGTAATTTACAAGAAGGAAAATACACTAATATATATATACACACACACACCTCCCATAGGCCTTAAGCCTAGTATACATATCCTACCCTAAGTCAAGTATGTTACGTATTGTTCATATGGACCTAATTTTGTTACACCGCGACTACGAACCTTAGTTACAACATGGCCGATTGAAGTTATTGAGAACAAAAGAAAAACCATTGTAAAAGAAATAATTAGTAGGCGCACACAAAAATAGAAGAAAAAAATTTATGAGGTTCAAGTTTTAAAAAAATAAGAAGAAATAACAAGTTTTAATTTGAATGAATCTTTAACTGATTATGATCTTGAGGAGGTAGAAGAGATCGCTAAGTGTTTGATGATGTTTTCTAGGGGTGTGAAGAATTGGGGTGAGTCTAATTCTGTTACAGAGTCTTCAGAGAATAACTATGATTTTTTAAAGCTCAATCATGGAATAGAAGGAAGGGAATTGTTTTAAAAGATGGTGGGATGTTAGTATGTGATGGTGCTATGACTTGGAAGATGAAGAAACCAAGACAAAAGTTTTATTCTTCTATTTCGGGTTCTGGGAATTCTTTGTTTGAAAAGAATGCATCTGAATTTAGTGATTTTCATTCTGGATTTGTGAATGATGATGAAAAGAATGTTGAATTGGAAGTTTCTGTTGATGGGTGTCCAAGGGATGATGAATTGAAGAAGCTTAAACAGAATGATCAATCTGGAATTGACTTGTGTGATCCTGAAATCCAGAAGGGAATGGAATCTACAGAAGTGTAATTGGAGAAGGATTTTGAATTGGATCAAGCTGACTCAGAATTGATGAAGTCTAATTCGAGTAAAAATGACAGGTTTGATGTTCATGATCCTGAATTGGGGGAAAATTCTTGTGACAGAACAAACATGGCTGCTCCTGACTATGAAATCTCAATTGATTATAAGAAAAAAGGCCACTACGAGTGCAGGGCCTGCAACAAGGTCTTTCACTCTTACCAAGCACTTGGAGGCCACCGAGGTAGCCATAAGACAATCAATAGCAGCTCTGTGCTGAAGATGGAGCGCTGCAAAAAATCTATCCAAGCAAACCTTTTCTGTGGTATTGAAGCTAATTCCAAGCTTGACAAGCATGAATGCAGTGAGGATTCACCCAAGGAGGGACTTGGTGGAGTGGCTGTGACGAGTTGGGAGTTGGAAAAGAGCAAGGAGCACAAATGCCCGGTCTGCTTTAAGGTTTTTGCATCAGGCCAAGCTTTGGGAGGTCACAAGAGGGCTCATTATGCCGGTTTCTCTGAAAGCGGCGGAGCCAAAGAGAGTGTGTTAGTAGAGCAAGAGCTTCCTGTTATTCACAACACATTCGATGTTAATCTCACATTGCCTCTTGAAAAAGAGGCCACTGATGATGTTAGGTTCAATCTTTGGTGGTTTGGAAGCAACCACGAGCATGAGCCACTAGTGATCTCTAATTGATAACACATTCCATTCATGGTGTCCATGAAGTTTATTCTGTGTAAAGACAGCTTGGTGGGAGAGTTCACTACAGTTTTTAGGATGACACACAGGTATACTCATTCCAGATAGTTTCTCTTCCATTTTCATGTATTCTTTTGATTTTTTTGAATTCTTTTTCCCATCTGGAAAATTGTTCCCCTGTTGTGAAAATTGGAACTTACTGACTTATCTTCAATTGAAACTTCAAAATTTTAATTGAAATTGTCTTTACAATTCTATGAATAGGTGAGCAAGAAGTTCTTGGTTGATATGTTGAATTTTAGTGATTACAAACCTAAGAACAGTGGAGAACACGTTATTGTTTAAATGAAGTTTGAAGATCTGAATGAGTGAGTTTCTGATTACTTCGCAGATTTTGAAGATTAGTTGAAAGTGATCAATCTGTTTAAGTAGGAAGGAAACAAATTGATAAAAATGCACAAAAGATGGCATCATAATATGGTGGTTTAGTCACCTACCATATTAACCATCACACTCATTTCAGATCCATGCCTTTCCCTTTCAGTTGGTGTTCTATAAAAATTCTTGCATCCTCACCCTATTTTTCAATTTTTTTTTTCTTTTTCTTTTTTTGGTATAAAAGAACCTTGAGTTTGGAAGAATGACCTGGCTACTTTATTGGAAGCTATAGCCAAAAAAATATAATAAAATATCATTAATTGGTGTTACTCCTTCACTCCTATTATTATTAATTTGAGAGTGCATTACTAAATGAATTCCGTATAGACCTAACTTTTAGCTTTATTTGCATAAAATTATGTCACTTCTCTCGAACATATATATATATATGATTTACTTGTGAAGCTTTTTTTATTTATTATTTAGTAAGTAATTCCTAGAAAAACTTACTAAAGAGAACATGTAACTATGAGGCAGGGGTGAGGGGACCATCTCATGTCTACAGGACTACATCTTCTCCTTTTATTTGGAAAAATTAGTACATTGTAATACTTGTTAGTTGTTACTTGTCTCTCACTGATCTCACTCTCATTTTCTTTATACTACATGATCTTCCTAAGCTAGTAGAAATTGATGAAGCCGATGAACCTAATTACAGTGTCGGGAGATCCATTTTATAGCCTTAGCCTTCAATTTCAATTAGAAGAAAATGGTGCCTCCATACTTTAAAACAATAGTGAAAAAGTGATAGCATGCGGTACTTGTGACCGAACAAGTTATTTTATTTGAAAGTTGGACATAGAGTGATCTTCACCATTCCTATGTGCACGGAATGTGGCTGCATTTGTAGAACACTCCTTGATAGGCAGCAGGTCTTATACAGAGCACAGGATTAAGTAAACACGCTATTTTAAAGACACTAAAGTTATGTAACACTTGTGCATGTATTTAATTTGACAATGTAACATTTATGCAATATATAACATCAAGATGTAACATCATCCAATTAACAATGCAATATTTTTATATTGTTAAATCCTCAATTTTATATTATTGTATAGCGTTACATGCATAATTTAATTATACACAAAATACAAAAATGTACTAGAGAGGATTGAGATTCCTTAATTTAGATTGATTAAATACATCATTCAGTTGAAGTTTTGGAGGTAACAATTTATTTATTTATTTATATGGACTTATTGATTAATACATCTTCTTATCATATCTTTGAAATCAATTTAACTCAACTCAATGTAGCTTTTTTTTGGACCTACTTGAAATTGGTTACATGAACACAGTTAACTAATTTAATCTTCTCCTTCCTTAGCATTACTCTACTGTGTCACTTTTTTTAACCGATACTCATAATAGTTTTTTTTGCGCATGTCCAAATCATTTTAATTAATTTTTTTCTCATTTTATTTCGAAATTGGTGGTAATTATTTCTTCTTCTTCTTTGTAACGTTACCGATTTTTCCTATTTTCTAATTTCTAGAATTTATTTGATTTTTCTAGAGGTATTTTAATCCTTGCCTCGTTTTGCATGCCACGCGGGCCCCGAGGGGCGTTATCGGTATTTCATATGTGTAGTTGTATATTTATACATGTATGTATGTTGTATTAGTGGTGTTGAATTGAGGGGGATATTTTATGGCAAGGTTGAGGTTATAAAGAAGTTCAAGGGGCATTTTCATCATTTTAGCTTCATGGAGTAGTCTAGAGAGTTCTAAATACCAAAAAGTGTCTCCATTTGGCCCATTCCTTTTCTTTGTCCTTCATTTTTGGACCACCGACCACAAGCTCTCTTCCTCTATTTTACTCTATTTTCTTACTGTGTCACTTTTTTTTAACCGATACTTATAATAGTTTTTTTTTCACATGTCCAAATCATTTTAATTAATTTTTTTCTCATTTTATTTCAATTTGGTGGTAATTATTTCTTCTCCTTCTCCTTTTCTTTTCTTTATTTATTTATTTATTATTATTATTATTTTTTTTTTGAAAAGAACTCCGTGGGGAGTTGTGAACTCTCTGCATTTCATTATGAAACATTCTGTTCCATAAAGAATCATTTTTGAAACATTCAGTTCAATTTCTGTTTTCTCAGCACTACACTTTGCAACTGTCATGGAGCAGTAGATACTGCAATAAAAAGTGTTCATGAGCTAGCAAAGTATGTTGTCATGCAAAGGAAAGTATCTCGTGTTATTGATGATGCCAGTATCTGTATGTCCGGTACATGTGGGATAGGTGGTAGATTATGGAGTGTTGTAAGAAGCATGTCAAAAAAAATTTTAATTAAAATTTTCTTGATTACGGCTCTATTTGTTTGAATGTAAAATATTTTTTTGTATTTTTTGGTGTTTAGTTGTCGTAAAATATTTACGAAAAAAAAAATATTAAAACCAAACAAAAATAACTTATTCATCAATTTTCAACAAGTTATTTTATACACCCAGCCGATGAACTCGACTTTAACATCAACCTAAACCCTTACCAAAAACTAAAAAATATAAATAAAAGAAAATATTTTATTTTATTTTATTTTATTATTATTTTTTTTTTTTATTATTATTTTTTTTTTATATGTGAACCGCTATAACAAACACATAATAAAATAAAATACACAAAAGTCACCACCAGTTTTTGTTGTAAGCCCATGAAGGTCGAAAATGAAACTCACTTGGGCCATCAAGGGTATAAAATGTGTGTGCATTGTTTAACTAGTCTTTGAGGCTGAGGGCCTATAGAAACATTGCTATTGGGCCAATTTTCAGTTGGATGAACAATTTTTGAACATCTCTCTCAAGTCTGAATTCATACGTCTCGGTGTCGCACTCTCTCTCTCTTCAGCAGAAAGCAGTGGAGTCTGCTCAGAGCTTTTAGAGAGAGAAATCTCTCTCTCTCTCTCTCTCTCTCTAAACCTGCATGAAATATGGTATAACTCATTTCCATGGACTACGCCAATTGGACTCAAACCCCACAGAATCCACCACAAAACCCTATCGCTCTTCCAAATGAGCCATGTTCTCATTATATCCACACTACCCATTATCTCTCCTCTCACTACCCTCACCATTCCCCAAACCCTAACCCTAACCCTAACCCTAACCCTAACCCTAGTATACCAATTGACCCAAACCCTAGCCCTAGTCTACACCAATTGAACTCCAGTGTGAATTATGCTCAGCATCAGACTGTTGATGCCGGCACGGTGGTGGTACCGTCCTCAGATTATCAGGACCCAACTGCCATCGCTTCTCTGCAGAATTGGGCGCTTGAGGAGGTGATTCTTCGGCAATATGGGGCGAATACTTACGCGACTGTAAGTGATTATTTGGGTCTCGGAAGATTGTTTCATTTTTATGCAAATTTATATAAAATACTACAATACCCAATTGCTCCATCTGTATACAATACCACTAAGTTCCATGATTTTGCATAAACTAATTCAAATAATATTTAGAAATTAAATTATAAAACTTTTCCAGTTAATAGTATTAAATATAGTATAATTAATCATCACTCACCAGAAATTCGAGAACATCACATTGTGAAGACTCTTGTCATTTGTTCCTATAGAGTTTGTATATGAAAGCATGTTTTTTTCTAACCCCAACCCCCCCCCCCCAAAAAAAAAAAAACACACACACACACACACACACAACTACTAGGAAAAAAGAACTTTCTCCATGATACCTTGTCATTTCTTTTTGTAGTTGTTGGTATTCGTATTACCCTTCCCTCAAAATTTTAGGGTTGGTTTGTTCAGTTCTCTAAAAATAGTTCATGACCCCCCCCCCCCCAAAAAAAAAAAAAACACACACACACACACACCTACTAGGAAAAAAGAACTTTCTCCATGATACCTTGTCATTTCTTTTTGTAGTTGTTGGTATTCGTATTTCCCTTCCCTCAAAATTTTAGGGTTGGTTTGTTCAGTTCTCTAAAAATAGCCCCCCCCCCCCCCCCCCCCAAAAAAAAAAAAACACACACACACACACACACAACTACTAGGAAAAAAGAACTTTCTCCATGATACCTTGTCATTTCTTTTTGTAGTTGTTGGTATTCGTATTACCCTTCCCTCAAAATTTTAGGGTTGGTTTGTTCAGTTCTCTAAAAATAGTTCTCATGAACTTGAAAAAAAAAAAAAAAACTAACTATTTTTAGAGTTCCGTCCGTGGAATCATCAATAAATCAAGTGGACAGGATCCTCAATTAGTTTTTGGGAGGATTTTTGATGTGGTGAATTGATGTTGCCTCTAGAGTTTCCATCCATTTTCAGAAATTGTCAACCAAATAGATTTTTTTTTTTTTTTTTGACAGTTTTTTTTATTTTCAGTTCTCATACTACAGAAAATTGTTAAGGGTAAACCAAGCAGGCCTTGGTAACTTGCTATTGATTATTTGGTTTTTTTTGCTTTACATATAAAGATTTCTTTGCATGAATTTGTGTACTTTGATTTCATTCATAATCATATGTCCCACACCTCCTTAGCAGGGTGTGACAATACCTACAGCTGGGACAGAGCAGTTAGTGGCTGCGCATCAGAACTACACACTCTGGACAAATACAATCGTTCAGCCTCAGAGAATTGGCCCTTGGAAGAGGGGACCGAAGAAAACAAAGCTTGTACAATCTTCATGGTGTGAGGTTTGCAAGATAGATTGCAACAGTCAAGCTGTTCTTGAGCAGCATAAATTGGGAAAGAAACACAAACACAACATGGAGAAGCTGAAAGAAGCAATTGCACCTACACCTGGTGCATTGGCAGCGTCAAAAAATCCAGCTATCGGCCCCCAAGAAAACCCCTATAATGGAAAAGCCGTTGGTAGCCAGAAAACAAAGGCGCCAGCTGAGCCGGAGGATTTAGAGACAAAGAGAAGGAAGGTTTTGGAAGGTGGGGCGGCAGCCTATGCCGTGAGGACTTGCATGTTATGTAATGTGGTCTGCAATAGCGAAACTGTATTTAGATATCATCTTGGAGGACAGAAGCATGTATCCATGATGAAGAAACAAGCAGCCGGAACAGGACTGCCTACGGCCACCTAAAGATTAAGTGAAGTGTAGAAAGAAAGAAAAAATTTAATGTAAGAGTGGTAATTTTCTTTTTCACCTTTTTGTTTCTATGTTTGCTTACGGTTTCCTTGTGCCCCATACCATATATTGGTGTTAGATACTGTTAAAATAAAAACATCCAGTTCGTGGTCAAAATATTTATTTTTTAAGCCATAACTCGACTGGATGCCATTGTCAACAAAAATATTAGGTATTGTTATTAAATACAAAAAACTGATACAAAGAGTCTGTGTGCTGCCAATGCGCGTAGAAATTACAGGTCACGGAGGCTATGAACAAAAAAGATCGTCATAACAAATAAAAACATAAACATGTGTAAATTACATTTAAAAAATATATATATAGGGAATAACAAATTCAGAATCCTCTCACCCACCACCTGTTGCTACCTCTACAAGTGCAACACCATTATTACGAGAATCCAAATTGCAACATCATTACTTTGAGGATGCAACACCAGTGATCATCAATGCAACACTCAAAACAACACATTTACTGCTAGGATGCAGCACTGCACCACCTTTACTTCATATATGCTCAGCAAACTACAATACAAAAGCTTTTACTAGAGAGGATGGAGATCCCCAATCCATAACTTCTCGCCTTTTCCACCCTCCTCCTGAACCCCGCCTCTGCTTTCCCAACACTAATACACACCCCCACAGCCTTCACCCGCACCAAACACCATACTGCAGTGCCCAGCTCAGAGTTTCAGACCCACCAACGAAAACAACAGTTCCAATACTGCCATGACCATCAACAACAATAAACCAGACCCATTGTCTCGTCCCTTTTCACAGAAGTGTGTGTCCAACCACAAACAAAGCAAAGTTCACCCAAACCACAAAGGGCATGTCTGGTAAAGAGAACACTCAAACTCATGAAATGTGTGTATTAACAAGCATAACTGTGAGAACTAAAAAAGTGTAATTGAGAATCTGTGTACAATTTTTCATGTCCAAGTTTTTATGTGTATAAATCCTTTACAGGCTTTAAACAAGGTTTTGGAACCCTAATTTCGATCAAAATAGGTTTTAAAAGCCTTTTCTAACTTGGCAGCTCATTGGACTGGGAGCGATCAACTGCTCACTAGGAGGGAGGGATCAATCCCTCAAACTTCAATGTGCGTCGATCGATCACTATATAATTGAGGGATCGATCCCATCACGCCTTTAAGTCCAAAAACATATTAAAACACCTAGTTTCCAATAGACCCCATAATCTAGGTGTATGGTCAGCTCAATACAATTTTATTAACCTAATGTGTTTATGCACTTACTCACCATATACCTTACCATTTGATCTTGAGAAATCTTCATGATGAGCTGATCATATTCTTCACTGAAGTCTTCATACAGATCGCGAAATAAAACTCATTGACTTACTCAACATACTTGACCAAAAAAATAATAATAATAATTAAAAATAAAATAAATAATAGCTCAACCACTTACAAACAGGTTTTGCAGTGCTTATTAAGGCAAAGATGACTCTTCCAAAAATAGTGCTACAGGCTATCAAAACCAAATATCAGCACTGCAAAAACCATTTTAACTATACTTAAAACCAGTTACAATATAAGTACCAAGTCAGTTGGAAGAAAAACTAATGTAATAAAACCATGTCACAGCCATAATCACCACAGCGATCTACACCTTATGTTCAAGTGTGCGCCAATTCTTCAACATGATTCACATGAACATAAGGTGTGTATGAATAAGTACATATTTTCTGAAATAATATGTTTATTAGATAGTATTTCAGGCCTTCAGAAGCCAGATATATCTCACATCAAAGCCGATTAGCCAACAAAAACAATTTATATGAAACTCATATCCCCAAGAATTCTTTACCTTGAATAAAATATATACATCTTACCTTATAGAAAGAGGCTGACATGATCAACAAACATCAATGGGAAGACCTTCAGTTTGGAGGAATGTTGACTCCCGTCCCAAATGGAGTTGCTAAGTAGAAAAGTTCTAGTTCTGATGGTCCTCCTAGAGAGAGAAATAGCCATGTGTAAATAATAAAAGCAGATACTTGAGTTTGGATGTAAAACTGTAAATATTAGAACCTAAGGTTCTAAACTTACCACAATAGTGTTTGGGCCCAAAAGAGCAACTCCCACGATCCTATCATGAGCAATTACATCTTGAGCATAGCCTAGCTTTGCTTGATGAAAACTCCGGGGTATGATATATTATTTTCAGTTGAAGATCCTCTTGTTTGAGTTGTATGGGGATCAAGCGAAGTTACCAGAATTGGAGAACTGTCTACTTGACTTCCAGTTGTGTTGTTCTCATCTTGATGGCTTGTGCTGGCCACAGTTTCAACCTTCGGGTTATTGATGGGAATTTTCTTTGCACCAAGAATTTTGATCCTAGCCTCTCTCAAGGCACTTATAGCGACCTTAAAACTGTGGTCGGATGCCATGCCTTCCTCCACGCATTTAATGGCTTCTTGATACAAGATATTGTATAGCGAGTTCTTGCCTCTTTGGGAATTACCTTGCATCTCAACACAGGGTAGTACATCCAACATGACCTCATCCTTTGCACTTCTGGTCCATCGCTTCAATATATAATATGGTGGAAGCATAAAAATATTTGTTGCCTTAAATACTGCTACTACATGCCTGCAGAGGATTCCTTCAAACTGAAACTTCTTACAACTACAACTTGCTCTTTGCACAGAAAGATTAAAATCAACAAAGTACAATTTATGTCCTTCATCAAATCTTGCTACCTCGTATGTGCTGGTTTCTCCATTATCTCTACTTAATTTCACAGCAAGAACAAGAGATTCAAAAATTTCATCCTGGAATATGGTGAACATTTTCCTTGTGTAAACTTCTGCTGCTTGTTTTTCTATAGGAAGTGGCGTCTTTAAAATTGGTTTGGTGTAAAATGTTTCAAACTCGGCCTTTGCTTCTTTTTCATATCGATCATCCAAGGCCTTCTGATACTGTTCAGCAAAATCTTGTAAGGTTGTTCTTGCATTCACATAGCCATCAAAAAGAGAATTCACACTTCCACTTCGCTGGGTAGCATACATTCCTGCAAAAAACGTGTTTCTTATGTATATTGGAACCCAAAGCTTGCGATCAATATAAAGAGATTGAAGCCATTCATTTCCTCTGAGGTTGTATTTATCAAGAAGCAAATCCCAGGCAGATTCAAAGTCTTCAGGTGTCTCGCTCTTATTAATGCATTTATCAAGTTCCATTTGAAATGTCTTCGGAAGTGCGCTATATGTGTGTCCCATTTCCTTTGCCATTTTGCTCATGATGTGACACTTGCAATAGCAGTGGCTTGATTCAGAGAAGACCCTCTGTGCTGCTTTGCTTATGGCTGCATCATAATCAGTTATTATTAAGCCTGGTTGCAGTCCAGACATTGCTTCAAGCCAAGTTGTAAATAGCCAAATGAATGTGGATTCTGACTCATCTGCAAGCAATGCACAGCCAAACAACACAGACTGTTTATGATGATTTACTCCAGTAAATGGTGCAAAGGGCATTTTATACTGATTCACTTGGTAAGTTGTATCAAACGCTACTACATCAGAGAAACAATTATAAGCAATCCTTGACCTCGTATCAACCCAAAAGACACTACTTAGCCTGTCTTCTTCGTCAACTTGAATTGCATAATAAAATGCAGGATCACTTGCTTGCATAATCTTGAAAAAACCCAGAAGACTTTGGGCATCTATACCAAAAGTGCTTAGCCTTCCTCTTCCAATATAGTTGACATGATTCTGTGGTGTATATACCATCTTGCCAAAACTGTCATAATCTTCGGTTAAGATATTCATGCTAGTACTTGAGTCCATTCCAGGGGGACTAAATGAGTTTCTCAAACTTTTATTTGAATCAGCTTCCTGCCTGTGAGATCGGAGAAAATGCCGCATTGCTGGAGTCACTAGCTCATGATTATGGTTTTTTTCCAATTTTGCTACATACCACTTCCCATTGTCCCGTCTCCTCACAGTCATCAGTGCCTTGCAACCTTCCCTTGTGATTGGCCGGGCACACCTCCTTTTAGTATTATTTCCCGAGTCTATCTTTTTTGCACGCTTGTCACGGCGAAAACCTTCTTTAGAACAACAAAACTCACGAGAAATTATTGAGTTATCTTTTTTTGAACGGTAATAAGAGTTCACACGAATGCTAAACCCCGTTTGTTTAGCATACGAATTGTAGAAATTCCTTGCATCGTCCTCAGAAATGAATTCCATGTCCAAGGTTGGCTCCATAAGTCCACCACCTAGATGATTAGAATATTCAAAATTCAAAGAATCTTCCCTTTTTTCATCATCCAGATCCATAGAAGCTTCAACATCCTCTACAACACAGCATGCATCACCTTCCTCTTCCAAACCAACATAAGAATCCACTAGTTCTACAACCTCCTTTGCCTGTTCCTCTTCCATGCTCTTTTGTTAAGTTAATCTTGTTGCTAAAATCAAGTTCATACACTGAGACCATCAAAAAAATTCAGCATCAAATTAATGAAATTCATTTCTAATTTCTTACTTCTATAATTTATTGAGGTTACTGAATCATGTAATCCATTGAGTAAACCACACACCATTTTGCACTATTTGACAAAATTTGATTACTTAATAAAATAACTCATCGCTACCACATATTTTTTGTAGCATTAAGCTAAAAATTACAGTAATGCATTTTACTCTTTAAGTGTTAACGAAATTTATCGATATTAACCCCCAAAAAAATGCATTTAGTGAAACGATTTTAACTTTAGTTCATCAAATATAGTGAATATTGATTAATATAAAATAAGTTGTCACAATAAACACCCCATAATACACAAATGCACACACTTTTATCTACATATATTTAGAGCTTTCAGCAATAAACTAGAAGCTAAAATGAGGAAGAAAGCAAAAATCTTCTTTGCAATACATGAGACTGGCACTATAAAAACAGTCAAATGTGTCCCAACACAATTGAAAAGCTTTTTCTAAACCAGTACAAGCTCACTCAGCACCATCCTCCTTCCCCCAAATGATATACATATTTATGTATGCACACACACACATATATATATATATTACACTGAACAAACAAAAAGTAAGCAAACAAATGTTCAAGTTATTCCAAGGAGCAATCGAATTAGACCTATAAATTTAGGGTTTCCTCTTTCTCTTAATTTTCCGTAAGTTGCCAATTGCGATAGACATCATAGACAAATGAGAGAGGTTTTAGGATTACCTTCGTGCGCTTATATACTGACGTCTCTCCTCACAGAACGAACCGTTGAGAGGAGAGAGAAAGAGTGAACTAGAGAGAGAAGGTGGGGGACGAGGACGATAAGCCACGAGAGGACAGAAAGTATGCTATCCCTTCTCTTTCAGATGGTATATGAAACCTCACAAATCCCTTGGATTATTTTGCTTATACTTTTATGCTCATCCAACGGCTGATATTTTGACTCTAGGTTGATGTTATGCTCCATAGATGGAGTTTTGTATCTTATAGCATAATATCTACCATGCATTAAATTTACGAAAGAAAAAAAAATAAAAAATTAAATTACATCCACCTTCCTTAAGTCTGGACAAATTATAAATGATTACTTTCACATTCCATAATTTTGTTTCATAGCGACCAAAAAGTGACTTGAAATGAGAAAAGCCTATAATGCATTTTATATTATAATCATATTATATTTTATACATAAAAAGATAATATTGTTATTTTATAAAATTTGATTATCAGGTCTGTTAAAAAAATTATATATTAAGAGTGTCATTGAGTAGGCGGCAATATCATTAGAAATTAACAAGGAAAAACATAATTAATAAGCCGTGTGTGAATATTATAGATCGCTTCTTTCATTACCTTATTATTTTTTACAATTCTTTTTTTTTCTTTGTTCTCACACACACACACACACATATTATTGAAATTTGATGTATTAATGATAACTTTTATGATTGGTTTTTCAATGGATCAAAGAAATTTGATGTATTAATGATAAACTTTTATGATTGGCTGAGAATTTTTTTTTTTAGCACATGCCTTAAATATGAGGCCCTTTTCATATTGGAAGCCACTGCGTAGTTCGCCTATGCTCAGAGCCGATCCTGATTGCAATTGTAAAGAGGCATAAAAATGTTTTGAAAGTAAATGTCAATTATCTTCAATTATAATTTGGTTCAATTATAATTGTATAGAATACCATTTTCTATGTATATGGCAATATGTAAATAATTTTATTTTGTAACCTAAATGTGCAAAAAAGTTACAAGAATAACAACTAAATTCTTAAATTGTGTTAGTGTTGTTTTGAATTAATTTGGATTTTTATGAAACATGTGTTAGATTATGCAGTTATTTTATAATATATTTATAGTAATATTTAGAATATACATTCACTGAGAAATTATCAAATTATTCTAAATCCTAAGTTATTTATATATATAATTTCACAACTTTAAAATTTTATTACATAGTTAGTTAGAACTATTTTACCATTATTACACGTAATTTGTGACTTGAAAGTCACCAATTCAAACATCCATCACTCTATAGAGGTAGGACTACTGTAACTATTGATATGATGCTCAAATAGGTGCAGAAGTTTTGTTAGCAAAAAAAAAAAATTGTTAATAAAAAGAGCAATGCATTTAATTTTCAAGTCTTAGACCATGAATCATGCACTACTTTTAAAAAGTGCTTTAGTTTATATATTTATATTTTTAAATGTACATAAAATTTTCAAGTCTAAAAATATTACTATGATTGATCTCTTCACTCCCTCAAATCATATGCATTGATGAGACATACTTCTAAAAAAAAAAAAAAAATAAAGAATAATTCTTTTTTAATGGTTGCGTCACATTTGGAATGGAAGAAAGTTTAGTTCAATTTTTATATTACATTTTTTCTAATCTCAAATTCAAATCTCCTATTCGGTTTTGCCAAACATAACATTATTACTTTTGTTATTGTTATCATTTGGACAAAGATATTATTATTATTATTATTATTATTATCATCATGTCAGTATTGAATCACTCCCACTATTTCAAAATAAATGTCTCTAAAATTTTAAAAAAAAATAAAAAATAAAAATTCTCTCATACCTGGGAAGTATTCCGAAATCAAAGTACAATTTAGAAAAATTAAATCATTTTTATACATTGATTATTTAAAAATAAAAAAATAAAAGACACTTGCTCAACATTCCAAGACAAAAAGATAAATACATAAAGCTATGAGTAGAACACAAGATAAATACATAAAACTATGAGTAGAACATGCTGTTCTTATTACGCATAAAAAAATGAGAGAAAGGAAATCTGAAACAACAATTGATTGTGACAGTTAAGAGGATGTAGCAAGTGGGGCTTGAAATGGACAACTGTTGTTGTAGTGACCTTCCACCCTGTGAAATAAAGGAATCTATGAATCAATCAATTATTTACTTCATGCCGTTGTCTCCAAATAGTTGAAACAAACCATGTGCCACTGGTTTGTTTTTCCATTTAAGATATGCTCTATCAAGGCCCCACATATTGTGTTATGTGTGAGTCAGAGACTTGTACAGAAGAATATGTGCTAAAAATAAAATAAATAAAAAGTTATATAGAATATGAGATCTGAAATGGAGGTTTACCTCACACCTCTTGCCTCATAACCAGCTATCATACAAAGAACATGTTGTTTGTAATACAATAATCGCAGCCCATTACAATCTGTTTATGTTTTGCCAATATTAAATTAAAAAGTATGGAATAGTAATTAGTATTATATTTGTTTGAAATGTAAACATGTTCAAACAGAAACCACAACCCTATGCTACCTAAAAAGTTAGTTCCTTTGATTATGCATAAATTAAGAGTTGTGTGTACTGATTTATTCTTCAACCGCCTAACCTAGTGAAAAATAACTCTTTAGTTCCTTTGATTATGCATAAATTAAGAGTTGTGTGTATTGATTTATTCTTTAACCGCCTAACCTAGTGAAAAATAACTCCCCTAATAAGTTAGGGTTATAGGGATTCCTTACTTATGCAATTAGTTAATTTTAGCTCCGAGTTTGAGATGATACAAGATTGGGGTGTAATTTTGATTGACCAATATGATTGGCATTGATAGCAACAACAACTATTATAGTCAAGTCATTTTTATAACCATTTGGAATTTATACAAATCTTATGTTTCCATTCATATATGATTAGACTTGGTGTCATGAAACCATTTGGAATTTATACAAATCTTATGTTTCCATTCATATATGATTAGACTTGGTGTCATGTGCCCGCGTCCTTAACTCAATTAGCCAATTAAGACCCATTTGGAATTGGTTATACAAATCTTATGTTTCCATTCATATATGATTAGACTTGGTATCATGTGCGGGCGTGCTTAGTTCAATTAGTCAATTAAGACTCAGAGGGACACATGCCCCGACCTCGCTCCATCAACAATATATATATATATTATTTTTGGACTAAATAATAAACTACCAATACTATCATTTTTTTAATCATAAAATCCCAACTTGTTTATAAAAGCATCTCTAGCGACATGTTAAAGTATCATTTTATGTAAAATATATGCTGCCACTTATGATGTATAAATTTTTTCTATCTCCAGCAGTCTGTTAATCTACATTGCCACATCACTAATGTGTAAAAGGGTTGTGTAAAATACACAACCTATTTACATGGCCAAATCAATATATTTCCTTTTTCATCCCTCTTTCTTATTCCATTAAAGAATCAACCGTATATTATGTGGGTCCTGACATGACACATGATTGATTTTTACATAAAAGGTATAAAATAACCGTTGGAGTTAAAATTAAATGATTCAAAATTTTTGTATAAATCCATTATGACATATTAGATTTACACAAAAAAAAATATACACAACAGTTGGAGATACTCTAACAGTATTACAAAGTTATTCTTTTACCTCAATTCTGTCAATGAATCGTTATGATATACCATTTTATTAAAAAAAAAAAATCATATTTTACAAATTACAACATTATCCTCTTGCACAAAACAAATAAAAATAAAAATTAGGGTTAAAATCATAAAACCCTCACTACTGTTAAATTTTGATCATAAAACCCCCAATTTGTTTTTGAAAATCCTATATAATATTTATGTCCGACCCGTTAACTGGGCTATGAAATAACAAATTTAACCTTACTATTTAATGTTAAATTAAAAACAAAAATTATTTTTTAAAATTACAAAAATACCCTTTAATCTTCTTTTTATCCCTTTATCTCTCTAAAATTATCACCACACACACTCTCTCTCACATAATTTTTTTTTTTTATTTTAAAGGGTATTTTTGTAATTTTAAAAAATTAGTTTTTAATATAACATTAAATAGTAAGGTTAAATTTGTTATTTTATAACCCCTTGAACGGGTTGGATACGGATATTAGGGTAATGTGATCACTTTTTTAAAGTATAAGAGTTTTCAGAAACATGTTAAGGTTTTATGATCAAATTTTTGAAAATAGTGGGGTTTTATGATTTTTAACCCTAAAAATTAATAGCACATGGTTGGCACATGTTCTTGCAAAAGTAGTTTTGTCACTAAAATTTGATTGCCAATGCATGTGAAGACAACGCGTTAGGTTAACGTCAAAAGTTGAAATTTTATGATAAAATAAAAAAAAAATAAATAAAAAAAATGATAGTATTGGGGATTTTATGATTTTCATTAGTAATAAACTCACACATCTTTTCGTTCATTTAGAGACTTAAACCCTTATCATCCAATTTGGGAGGTAGAGGAGATACTACTGAGACACAAAGCCCTTGGTCTCCACCAACTATATGTACATGGTATTTTTTTTTCTTCTATACATTTAGAAAAAATTCTATATAATGCCCCTCTAAATTTTTTATTTTCTAAAATTATCTTTAACTTTGAATTTCTTTTATCTTTAGTCTTTAGATTCCTTTAATTTCCTTTTAAAAAAATTTGAATTTTCTTCTTCAATTAGATTCTAATTTTTTTTTCCTAAAATTCTTTGTTTTGCACTTGTAATATAGAACTTTTTTTTCACCACACTTAAATTTTATTTTTAAAAAAGAGCTAAATGTTCCTTCTTCAATTAGACTATATTTTTTCCATTCAATGTTTTATAATTTTTCTTTCCTTCTTCTTCTTCTTCTTCTTCTTCTTCTTCTTCTTCTTCTTCTTCTTCTTCTCTATTAATTTTTTTTTTCTTGCTTCTTAAATTTTTTCTTTTTGCACTTATAGTAATGTAACTTTTTTTTCACCAGGCCTAAATTTTATGAATACATAGGTGTAATTTAATGCAAAGACTTTCAACTGTATTCAATGAAAATATTACCAAATAACTTTTAATTTTTATATTGGTTAACTATTTATCTTTCTTATATTATTAATTGATTATTATATAATTTTGCAATGATTTTTTTTTTTTCTTTCTTCTTTGCCCATTTATTTGAAAAAGTAGCAATTTTTTTATTAAAAAATTGTGTTTGTTTATCAATTAATATAATTTTTAATTTGAAACACTCTTGAACAATTTATTTCGAGACAAAAACAATACTCGAGTTTTTTGTTAACTGAAAACAACAATTTTTTTTTTTTTATTCAAACTTTTAAACTAGATACAAATGCAGCTTTTACATATATTAAAAAGAGTTTGATCTAAAAATGGAGTTGAGATAGATTTCAGTTGAAGGTTTAAATAATAGTTTGATGGGATCAATTTTTTAATACTATCATACAATTTTAATTTTACTTGTTAAACTCTCTAGTCTATACGCGTGAGATAAAGGTTAGAATGATTAGGCATATAAAATACATATGACACATTAATTTGACGAAGTCTAACAAGGCAACTATCTGTGACACTAGTTTGCACAATAAAAGCATACAAATGTGATTAATTGATGTTTTGTTTGGTTGTTCACAATTTCACATCAATCATCTACACCTAGTCTATTTATTTATTTATTATTTTATATATAGAAAAGTGACTCTTAATGTTCTTAAAACAGGCTCATTATTCCTTTAACCGGCAGATGCCTATGACAGCCAAGAGATTGCCAATCTTTGGTTAAGAAGGCAGGGCACACGAGTCCAACACGCTTTACTGGGAAAAAAATCATCTCCGGACTCCAGTTATTTTCTCATTGGATTGGTTTGGGGTAAAAAAAAATTGACTTGACGTTAAATTCTTATTTATCAAACTTTTAATATATGTGAGCTGAATATTTGCAGTAAATTAGTTAATCTAATAATTTTTAATTGGTTATTTATACTAAATACAACTAAGTGGAAGGCTCTATTTTCTTATTTGTTGCATAATTGACCAATTAAAATAGTAGGTTTACCAATTTAATGCAATTATTCGGTGCAAGAATTATTTTCCTTAATATATACATACAAATTCCATATACAACATATCTATTATTTAATAAATTTGACTTTTACTTGATGGGCCAGTTGATTGAAATTTGAACATCCTTAATAAAGAAAATTCTAAAAAAGAAAAAAATCCACATGCAGAACAAATAAAGAACTACATGAAAAGTTGCAGATAAGAAGAAGAATAATTAAAAAATAAATTCTTATTTCGATTAAAAGGTAAATTATCTTACGAATAATCCTTCAACTTTTGATAAGATTTGGAGCCGATGAAGAACAAATGCTATGGAGGGAAGAACAAATGATATATAAGACTTACTAGAGTTGGAATGATTTATTTCCTAAAGTAAAAAAAAAAAAATAAGGAAAAAAAAGAAAAAAAAAAGGTATTTTAATTTCTTCCGAAAGGTAAAATTGAATGGTATAATAATATACTCAGTATATTATATTGTATAAATAGAGTGGTATTTTTCTTTCTTCATTTGTTAACTTGATGATGACAATAATATACTGAGGAGGTGACATTAATCACCATATTTAGGTGCTCGATGAGGGGCCGTGGGAGACTAGAAGGATTTTTTTTTTAGCTTTAATGTGGTATGAGATTTTTGAGAAGGCCAACAATAGAAAACAGGCCAATTTTATTACATGTTGTTTTAAACTATTATTTTATTACTATTATCATTATAATAATTATTTTCCATTTGTTTCTTTTGGACTTGTAATGCAACAAATTTCATAACAAAATGGATTAATTAAGGATAAAAAGTTAATTTTTTTAATTAAAAAATGTCACAAAAAACAAATTGTCCTACTATTATCATAACTTCAGTCTATAATCTCATTTAAAAAAAATAAAAATAAAGTTCGTAACTTCGTAATATTTTATAGCCTTTTAAAACAAAAGGTCGAGAGTACAAGTGCCTATAATGACATGTGGTCATCTGAGTTGTTGTTGAATTGAAACTCAACAAACTATTTTCAATAGTTCATAAATTAGATAGCAAATCCGAGTTCAACCTATAAGTACGACTTGAAATCAGAAAATGAATTATTTAAACGAATAAACTTATAAATAAGGCTAATTGGCTATAAGATAGCTTGTGTTTGCCCTACTAATTATATCATTGTTCAACATTGCCATAACATTTTTTTCCCCATATATAAAAACAAAGATTAATACCATATAAAGAAAATTTCCGAAGGAAGTAAATTATGTTTTGATACTTAAGATTAACTACACTAACCACTCTCCCTCAGTACTATGTACCTCTTAATCCATAATTAAACTTAATAAACTAAAAACAACTAGTCTAATCTCATCCTCTATCAACCAAAAGCCTCCCCACAAACATAGGGTATAACCCTCTAAATTTAGGTACAATTTACTCCCTCCCTTTCTCCACCTCACCCACAATCTCAAGGTCAAGCTACTATCTCTCTCCTCCCTCTCTCTCCTCTTTCTGTCTCTTCAACTCATTTTCATTTTTCCCTCTCTCTCTAAACCAATCACTTTCTCTCTCTGCCACCACACGGTTTTGACTAAAATCATAATTATTGTTAATTTGTTTTTTTTTTTTTTTAATTTTCCAGAGAAAAAGTAAATTAGATCGGTCCGATCAGCGTCGGCAAAACAAAACTAGTGAAAATACACAAAATAAGCAGATACGATTGTCTCTCTCCCCCTCTCTCTCTACATTCACTCTTCCGATTCGAGGAGAGAGAAGCAATTTCGATATAACAACACAATCTGTGATTATTGATTTGTATTTGTAGCTGAATCAATTCGTATAAAGTATAAAGATATATGTATGTTGTATTGTATATGCGTATTTAGAATTATAAGAAAGATTGTAATTATTATCTCCAATGCATTGGTCTCCGAGAAGGCCCCAAGCAACGAATTCGATTGAGTCGGAGTCTTCGATCTGGTGTGATTGCGGTGGTGGATCTGATGGTGAGAATATCGGGGGAGGGGTCAGAAGAGGGTTGGGGCGGTCAGGGTGGTTCTAGGGTTTTGAGGAGGGGCTGCAGAGGCGGCGATGCAGCTTCACTTCTCACCTAGTATGAGAAGCATTACGATATCGAGCAGCAATGGGTTTATTGACTTGATGAAGATCAAGGTCGCAGCTCGCCGCATCTCTTACCGTACACTCTTCCACACAATCCTCATCCTTGCTTTCTTGTTGCCATTCGTCTTCATTCTCACTGCTCTTGTTACTCTTGAAGGTGTCAACGACTGCTCCTCAATTGGTACTCAAATCTCTTCCCCTCTTCTGCAATATTGATTTATTTAATTCATTTATTATATATACGATTGCGGGTCGAGATAGATTGTTTCGTTTCTAATTGTATTACAGAGATCTCAATTTGATTTATATTGGTTTATTGTAATTACATGATATATATGATTGGGTTATTGTAATATGTTGTGGGAAGACAGTAATGTCGGTCTTTATGCAATCTATTGTTTTTGTGATGTGTAATTAGTATGATTCTTTCTTTGGTATGTTGTTTATGGGTTTTGGGGAGGATGGAGGTGGGTGGGGATGTTTGGTTTTGAAAGTTGGTTTGTTGATCAGGTTATTGCAGTTGTTTACATCATGAGAGATCCGAGTTATATTAATTTTACTGAACCTAAATCTGAATTGGGATTTCTTTTATTCCTTCAGTATGGGCAATAGTATATTATATGATGCAGGATTGCAAAATCTAACTTAATCATCCTGAAATATTTGGTAGTTTAATGTCTGCGGTTTATAATGATTTTTGTTGTTGTATTCTTGGTTATCACTTTAAAATTTTATCACAATTGAATTTTTTATGTCGCACCAACGAAGAAAACCTTTGTTGATTAAGAAATGATAATTACTGAAAGAAATAAACGTGTTATTGTTTTGGATGCTGGCTAGGCAGATAAGGGAATTACTGTTTAATTATCAAGCTAGTAATTGAATTCTTCTTTTCTATCATACCCTGGTTGTTTCTGTTAAGCTTAGAAGCGGATGACAAAATATTATTTGGTTGGCCTTTTATGTTTCTTATAGTTTTCTAGTGGTAATGAGTTGTTGCTTGGATGTGCACTCAGTTTCTGTTATTGCTTTAACTAAGCTAGAAGTGATAGGATAGAGAATTGGGTTGAATCAATCCCACATTTATATGGTGATTGTTGTAATTTTCTTGGCTTCACATCAATACTATATATAAATTTCTTCATTTTGGTTTTGCTGGGTCTTTGAAATGGCTATTCTTCCCCTTTGATTCTGTTTCCTCTCCCCTGTTTCAGCGGTTGGTTTTACTCTTTTCCCAAACATTTGGTTTTACTCTTTACCAATATTACATAACCTTGACTAATTTTCTGGGATTATATAGAATCTTGGTATTCCTAGTTAGTGGATTTTATATGGTAAACTTGTGTTGATTTTTGCAGCCTACTTTTATCCTCTATATGTTGTTAATACAGGAGCATGTTATTTTATATATATATATTTTCTTGATGCTGTTTGTTTTGTTGCCGCCTTGCCGGATTGTTATGGAATTGATAATTTCGTTCTTGCATTATATGTATTTTTTCTTTTTTACAACCCACCTCTTGTATTTATATTGTGTTTAAACCAGTTTAATCTCTCTCTCTCTGTGTCCATTTTTTTCTTTTTGGCATTTTTATAAAAAGTTCTTAATCAATTGTGAACCAATGGTTTCATTCACTTTTTCTTTTCCTTCTCTCTGCTTCAGGTTGTTTAGGCAGGCGGTTGGGACCAAGGTTTCTTGGTAGGGTTGAAAAATCAGGGGTAAATAATACTTTCATTCTATCTGTAGTAGTCTATTTCTTTGCTATCCAATTGCTCATTTTAATTTTTTATTTCAATATTTTTTCAAAAGCTTAGCATGTGTCATGGTTGCGCTGCTGCAGGGTCTTGTTACAGATTTTTACAAGGTCCTCCATCAAGTGAACGACAAGAAAATCCCAGATAACTTGAATCTGCCAGAGTCATTTAGTCAACTGGTTTCTGAAATGAAAAATAACAAGTATAGTGCAGAGGAATTTGCTTTGATATTAAAGGGAATGGTATGTGGCATGTTACAGCAATTTTTATTTTTATTTTTTATATTTAGTTTATTTACTTATTTTGGAATTGGTTGGAATAAGAGTTATTAGGCAAACACTAATATTGTAGTGATTAACTTTAAGAAAGTCAGAAAGCACCACACAGAATATGGTACATTTTATTTCTAAGCACTAAATCAGTGATCCAGAAAATATTTCCTTTGATCTGTTCTTATTTTTATTTATTTATTTATTTATTTTTTTGTGTAAAAGGAAACATAAAAAAAAAAAAAAAAAAAATGAATAGAGTTATAGTAAATTATTGAGAGAAGAGTCAAAGAAAAGTCCATACTACGTCACTAACTGAACTTGTATAGGTTACCACTAAATTTTTATTTTTGCATAATAACTTATAGTTTAACACTTTTTTTTTTGATAAGTCTAGTTTAACAAAAATTTTATAGTATATAGAAACCTTGTGCCTTTCAGTAATAATATTATAAATAATTGTTTGCATAGAATTTTTTTTGAATTTAGATTACCTCAATACACTGCAAGTATGTAATCCATATTTGCATAGCCATAACTTTTTATGTTTAAAGTTCTTTGGTGAACTATTTTCTAATTCCGGTTCCGTGTTCTTAAATGATCTACATTTTATGCGTCATTGGTTGAATGGTTAATATATGTCCTAATTTAATTCATTGTTTGGGTTAGATAGGAATTGGCATGACTTGGTGCTTAGATTTGAACATTCCGTTTGGAATATTTTGTAACTTTTTAAGTATTCTTTTGAGGTATCTATATTTCTTGGGAGGTGACCTACCTTATTAACACTTGTTAAAATGCAAATAAGATTACAAAGAAAGAAAGAGGGATGAGGTGACAAACATCCCAGCTCAAATTATAAGCATGGATTATGGTTTTTGGTTATATGCTAACAGTTAAACCACATAGAACATCAGTCCTGCAATTTGAACAATCTATGCTTTCCTTCTTGCTTGCTTTTCTTAAGGAAACAAGTTATACTGAGTTGCACACTTGAACTTGTTAGACAAACTTTCTGCTGTTACATATGATTAGGTCGGGTGCTTTAGATAATTATTGGTTAATATGATTAGATATTTACTTTTTATCTTTTGCCCTCCCCTTAATCCCTTTCTTTGCCTCCCCCTTCTTGAAGCAGTTTTTTGTAGTGTACTTCATGTCTGTCCCATTGTTAACATTTTATGATTTTGATACGAATCCTATCCAATATTTAAGCTTAAATTATAAATAATTTCCTTGAGCCTTATGTATAATATTTGCTTAATAAAAATTATATTTTGCTGGTGTACGACGTACAGTTTCACTAGAAGAGCTAGCATTGAGAGTGGATGTTGTCGTACAGTTTCACTAGATGTTGTCGTACGGTTTCACTAGATGTTGTGCTCTATACATCTGAACCATAAAGAAGGAACTAAATGGCTTTTGTTTTAGAGTTCTATACATGTCAATGATGGTGATACTTAACTTTTTAAAAAAGATTTGCATTTCACAAATACATTCAATAATAATGTGTTTCTACGTACATTTAGATTGTTAAGAGTCATCAAGGCCTTTTTTAGTTCTATTTCCTTTCTTCCTGTATTAGTTTGCCACTAGAAGTTGATACAAAGAAAAAAATTAGTCAGAAAGAAAACTATGAAAGGAAAGGAATTAGTCAGAAAACAGAATGTAAAAGTAACAAATATAAAAGTAACACCTTTTATTTGTCTCCTTCCACAAACACCAGAATAAGCCTCAAGGAACCATGATCTGTACCACTTTGACTCTTAAATCGGGCACCCCATACTAGCAGTTATTGTGTCCCTCCCTGAGTTCTAAACCCCAAATATAGAGAAAAGCCCACTCCAAATGATTTTGGAAAACACTTTGCTTGGTACTTCTTTTTGTCCATTGTCAAGGCAAAAAGGAGATGGGTGTTAGACAGCCAAAAAGATTAAAGAAGTAAATGAGAAATGAGTAATCCATGCTACTTACCAGATAAAATAAATTTAAATACATAAGTAATACATGCTGTTATAAACTTTAGAAAGATAAATTGAATCTTTAGATATCACCAGTATATTTAATTTGGAAATATGTGACTCAAGTTTAGAACCATATTAGAATTGAATTCATTGTGTGGAAAAGAATATGTCATCTTATTTTTTGTCCCAAAGAATCCTCGTGGAGCTGTTTAACAAGTGAAATACTTAAGATAAGTCTTTGCAAAGATGAATAAATATGTTTATGTTAAAATTCCATATATATTCTGAAATAAGCTATCTAAACTGAAAAAATTGCATCTTTCACAAATTCATACCAAATTCATCAAATTAGGAGAAATTTAATGTACGAACAAAGTAAGTAGGGCTGATGGGACCAATACAAGCAGAGGGAACAACAACATATCTTGAATAGATGCATGTAACGGTAGATTCATGGAAAATTATTCTAAATATCAGGAGCATCAGATTATCTATCAAAGAGCCTATGTTAATTATACATTAATATAGATAGTTTTTTTAAATGGTTCTTCCACTTTCAATGACATTATCCTAGCTGAATGTTTGTGTGTGCTGGAAGGGGGTGCAGAGTCAAGAAACATGGCACAGTAATTGGTTTTGGGGTAAGGGAGTTGGAGTTCAATTCAGCGGCTTATTTACCTCTTTCTCTAAGGTCTTTGAGAAAAGGTAAATCAGGGCCATTTTCGGAAATGCAAGGAAGGCCATACCATCTCCCGTTCTTTCATTTGTATAGTAATATGGACAGTGTAGATACATTAATTAATACTTCTAAAACTCTCACCTATAGTTTTTTTTATTAATTAGATTTTTTATAAAATTGGAAACAATTTAACCAAAGTAATTTTTTCATTTAGTCAAGCTTATATGATAGACAGCTTATAGTTTCATAGATTAAAAGGGCTTTTGTTCGTGGACTCTATTGTATGAGATCCAAATCTCATGTTTGGGTCCATGCAGCACAGATTCTTACATAGTAGCTCATTGCTCATTGTGCTTGCATGCATACATGAGGGTATAAAGATGTTTGATGATGTATATTGTGTTAATTTTGCAGCAAAAGAAAACGGTGTTAATGTCCTTTGTTTTTTGTGGGGCTGATTATGTTTTGCAGCTGTTGTTTCAACTAAATAATTTATTTATTTATTTATTTTTTTGGTGCACAGATGGAGAGATCTGAAAGGGAGATCAGGGAATCAAAATTTGCAGAACTGATGAACAAACATTTTGCAGCTAGTTCCATTCCGAAAGGCATCCACTGTCTCTCTTTGCGTTTGACCGATGAGTACTCATCTAATGCTCATGCTCGCAAACAGTTGCCTTCACCAGAATCCCTCCCTTTGCTTACTGACAATTCTTACCATCACTTTGTCTTGTCAACTGATAATATTCTGGCTGCTTCTGTCGTGGTCTCTTCCACTGTCCAGTCATCTCTTAACCCTGAGAGGATAGTCTTCCATGTCATCACTGACAAGAAAACTTATGCAGGCATGCACTCATGGTTTGCTCTGAATTCTGTCTCTCCTGCTATTCTTGAGGTAAAAAGTGTGCATCAATTTGACTGGTTAACAAGAGAGAATGTCCCTGTGCTTGAAGCTGTAGAAAACCATAATGTGGTCAGGAACTACTACCATGGCAATCATGTGGCGGGGGCCAATCTCAGTGAGATTACCCCTCGAATATTTGCTTCAAAATTGCAGGCTAGAAGCCCAAAGTACATTTCGTTGCTCAACCATCTTCGAATATATTTACCAGAGGTAATCAGATCTGATATAATAGATCTCCCTTCATTTGTTGGTGGACATCCAAGCACATTAAATGTTTTTTATTCCAAAGAAATGAAAAAAAATAATAAAACAGTGCTTCATATTAGAGGCAGTGCGTTTTAAGGGTTATTTAGATGCCCAAAGAGAACCCTGCTAGAAGATCGTTTCTCTTATGGCGTGTGTAGGTGGAATTGTGGGTTTTTTACCAGGGGGCTTGAACATTGGGTTGTTATGTTCCTATCCTAAAGGCTAAAATAACCATGATAGAGATATTGCCATTGTCTTTTGTTATTGTTTCTTTTGAGACTTCTTTTTGGATAACGATACTGACGGTCTTATATGTTTGAAATGCACAGCTGTTCCCAGAACTTGATAAGGTGGTTTTCTTAGATGACGATGTCGTAGTTCAGCGCGATCTGTCTCCACTCTGGGATATTGACCTTGGGGGCAAGGTTAATGGAGCTGTAGAAACTTGTAAAGGTGAAGATGCATGGGTAATGTCTAAACGATTTAGCAACTACTTCAATTTTTCTCATCCCCTCATAGCAAAAAACTTGGACCCTGAGGAATGTGCATGGGCGTACGGGATGAACATCTTTGACTTGCATGCATGGAGAAAGAAAAACATAAGAGACACTTATCATGCCTGGCTGAAAGAGGTAAATTCCAATTCCTTGTCCCTCTTTTGAATACTTTTGTGTTTTTTCCTCTAGTTGAAAACTGAAATATTATATCCTGCTTATTTTGTAATTGTTCCACTTTTAAGGTTTGTGGCCTGCCTCCTTATTTAATGTTTCTTGTTTTAGAGAATTTTCAATGAGGAGCTAAATTTTTATCTGGAATGATAAACTTAGAGATCTTGTGTTTTTGGTTTTTCAAATTTACATTGGAATGTCAGCTAGTCACAGATGCATAATAATTTTGGGATCTTGCAGAATCTGAAATCAAACATGACAATGTGGAAGCTTGGAACTCTACCCCCAGCTTTAATTGCATTTAAAGGTCATGTTCGCCCAATTGACCCGTCTTGGCACATGCTTGGCTTGGGCTACCAAAATAAAACTAGCATTGAGAGTGTTAAAAAGGCTGCTGTTATTCACTACAATGGCCAGGCAAAACCATGGTTGCAGATAGGCTTTGAGCATCTCCGGCCGTTTTGGACCAAATATGTTAACTACTCCAATGATTTTATTAGGAATTGCCACATCTTGGAGTAGTTGTTAATCAACCAAAGGAGATTTTAAGCAGAGAAGATAAGACGGAAGATTAATGCCTTATGGGGTTAGCTCAAGTATTTTTTGCAGATAAAAAATTTGTGAATATTCATTTGAGAAGAGAAACAGAAGGTTGGCCAGGAAGCTATACATTTAAGGTCCAAATTCCTTGCTGTCCCCTTGCGAAGAAGAGGACCTGCATCACCAGCTCGGGCATATAAGATTGTTCTCTCTGTCTGTATCATACCATTCCGTCATATGTATTTTTTGATTGGGAGGACACACTATTTGGTCCTCCTGAGAGTGGTCTTGCCTATTCTTAGTGCTTGGAACAAAATAATGTGGAATACACTCAAGATAAAACATGACTTCGTCAATGCCATAATCATACAAGCAGTGCAAGGAGACGCTAGGAAACTGGTCCTTTGTAGGGTCCCAACTTTAGTTCCATTTAGCCTCAGAAACCTTCTCTTTTTATCATTTTGTTTTACGTTCTTGTTATTTCAACCCCGATTTTTTCTTCTTTTTTCCTTCTATATTATCATGGTGATCTCTAGGTGGTAGCTTGTGAAGATTACCCTGTTACAGGTTCCATTGGGTTGGGAAATTATTCTTAGGTTAGATGACCGTATTTGTTATTCTGTATGATTCATGAGAAGCATTCAAAAATGTGCAGAAAATTCTTTTTCCCATTTTTGTCATCTGAGTGTTGTCACCACTTAAACCGGGATGATTATGTAGCTTTGTATACTTTATTGTGTCTTTACAGATTGGATACTTCAATATTATTATCCCTTTGAAATTATATTTATTGAGTTCTCTCTTTTCTTAATTCTTTCTTGATGTTCTGGTTGTTGTTTTATTGGCTACTAATCATCAGTAGCCAAGTTTCTTACTATCCTGCAAAGGGAGTAGTTTGATTTTGTTATGCTAGCCCATGCGATGATACATCGTTCAAATTCGGAGGATGTAGGCTGAACAACGTAATGTTAGGGTGATGTCAAGACCCGCACTCACAACAGCGTAATGTTAGGGTGATGTCATGACCCGCACTCACATATCCTCCATTCCGCATCCTCCACTCACATATCCTCCGTTCCGCATGCTCCACATTTTGGAGGATGTATCATTGCTCTAAAGCGAGGAATTTGAATAACACATATAATGGTTGTTTAACAGAAGATTCTTGTTTATGGGATTTGCTAAGTTCATGATGTACAAGCAATCCATCTAATTTAGTAGTAGCGTCCAAACAAGGTTTTGGCTATGCTGATACTTGAAGGTGGCCGTTTTTTGCTCTCAAGGCAATAATTTAATTGAAGGATTAGTAAATGATTAGTCTGAATTGGTGACGTTTTATAAGATTCTGGATTTTGGTTGGACTCTTAATAGTTGAGGAAGAAGCTGAAATGATCAACTCAACTACCTGTCCCAATCAAATAAGGTAAGAACACAGATAGGTCGTCATCATCACAAGGAATTGGGCAAAACGAAACAATTGGCATGATATGGATCTAACTTTTGGTGGTGGTGAAGTTAATGTAACGATCCTCACGTTTTTGTTGTGAAATAGAAAATTGAAGTGTCAAAATAGGACTTTTACTAAGATTGGTAGTCATAACTTGTGTCTGACCATCCAATGTAATGTACTAATATTCATTGGATTGTACATCATATCCAATCAAAAACCATGTCAACTAGGCACCGCCTATCTGGTTCATGAACCATTTTCCACTGGGACCAAATGCAATGACCGATACCGGTTCAAGTAAATACCAGCAACCTTGGTCCCATGCTATTGTGTGTGTATCGGGTGAACGTTTGTCCATTTATTCAAAAGTTTAAGTTGTTGGGTAGTGCTGTATACCTACTAATTTATTCCCAATCACATTTTCATTCGGATTAGACGTGGGACAAATAACCTTAATTACAATATGTATATCAGTACATGTGTATGTAGAATTTTATATATATATTAGTGTTTAGGTGAATCAGATTGATTGGTCCTCACTCTTTATGGTGTGACTTTCACTGTTATGATACTGTATAAATAATTGATCTCAAAAGTATCAATTTCTTTTTCATATCTAATTATTCAGCATTAATAGGGACATGTATCTAAATTGAAGAAGGAATGAGGTATTTTCCAAGCAATTAAACAGGAGTTTGAATTTTTAGCACGAGATCACAGGATACCTTTGTAGGACCCACGTCTTATAATGACTCGATTATAATAATTATTAGTACATGCATTTACATGAAACTAAGCGAGCAATCAACTCAAATTTATAAATATATACAGTATAAATTATTGACATAAATATATACAAATTGAAGGGTCAACTCTAATTCAATGCGGTGTGAGCACTAAGCAGTGCTACTCAACTCAAATTTGAACTTAAACTCGAATTAGTAAGAGTTAGTTCCTATAATAAGAGATAGTCCCAACCTGATCACGGTTAGAGGGAATTGGATTGATTCTTTAAAATATTAATATACAATAAATTAGGATTTAAATAAAAGTAAATTGTAAAGAAAAGAGGGTGACTATATTTGAAATATGTATAATACATTTAAAAATTATCGAAATGTGTATAATACATTTAAAAATTATCAAAATATGTATAAAAAATAAAAATAAATTTTGGATTCAGTTTGATCTCAACACTCAATGTCATTCTAATATAAATTAAATTTGGCTTAAAATTTTTCATCTCAAACTCATTATCAAGTCAACCAAAAATCAAGTTAGTTTTTAATTCAATTATTTTAAAATAAAAAATAAAAAATAAAATCTAAAAAAACAATTAATAATAATAATACTAATTCAGAATACCGACCAAGAAGTATTTGTGTAATAATTAGTATAATATAGTACGATTAGTATAATAATATGGTACTGCAGCTGAAGTTAAGCAAGTGGGAGTATTTATTTGGGAAGGAAAAAGAATTACTCCGTAATAAGGTGGATTTTTTTCCATCGAGGTGGGAAAATGGTAAGAAGGCACCCAAAAGGACGTATTTGTTGACCACCGATTTAACAAGACTTTGAATACTCCGAAACACCCTCTTCTCCTAATCTCATCTCTAGGGATTCATTTCTTTGATCTATTCTTCTTCTTTTTTTTTTTTATACTTATATATATATACACACACGATTTGGTTTCCTCTACTCTTCTGTTCGGGCTATTCAACCAAGAAAATTGTGGAAGACATTGGAGGACAACAGATCAGTTTCTGAGCCAAGTAAGCCTATAATGAATGACTTTTACCATATCTTTGGGTGAAACTTTTGGTTTCTGATTTATCTTGTGGACACCCTTTTAGAGATTTGAGTAGATAACTCCATTCTTGAGTGGCTGTTTGACTTTTTGTTTTTTCGATTGATTTAGTGGTGACCCAGTGAAATATTTCAGTGGGATTTGGGATTTTTGGAACACCCACTTCAAGATTCTTGATTATCTCTGTGTGTCTTTGTGTGTGTTATTCTGGAGGGTTTGTACGATGGTCTTCTTATCTCCCCACTTTGAAACTTTTTGATCAAAATATTGGAGTGATTTTTTCCCTATTTTTGGATAAATAAGATTCGAGATTTTTGTTGGTAATTTTGTTTTGGAAGAAATCAGAAATCAGAAATCAGAATTCATATATATGTTATTTACAGTGTTTTCTTTATAATCTAACCTTCTAATTTTAGGTTGCTATTAATTGATCTTTCCTGTTTTTAATATAAATCCGACTCAAGGTTTGTTTTCTTATTTTTGTACATTCAATTTTTCAGAGTACACAAAGCGATGAATTCTAGATTATTTTGAAGGCCCCAATTATTTTCAAGATAGAGGGTTACTTGATTTGTTATAACAAGCCTAATTGAGGTTCTAGATATATAAATTTGGAGAAGACCTAAGTGAAGGTCCTGGGTGTTTGGATACTAAAGAGTCTGGGAAATTGAAAGATGTCTGCAGTGCAAGATCAGCTGGAGATCAAGTTCCGATTGCCTGATGGATCGGACATCGGCCCCAAAAGCTTTCCTGCTGCTACAACTGTTGCAACCTTGAAGGAAAGCATCATTGCTCAATGGCCTAAAGGTTAGTTGGGTCTTTGATTGGTTCCATTTGCTTTGAATAGGTTTTCTTGATAGGAGTACTTCTCTATACTTTTGATGATTCTTACTTATGAAATTATGCATAGCCGGGAGTAAGATATCATAATATGTCCAAACGATTGATTTAATTTTAGAATTTTGAAATGAATACTGTTTTTTGCTATAACTTTAGAATTTAAAGGTTCTTAATGGAAGTGTTGTTCTTCATGAATGCACCACTGGGATCCTTGGCACTATCAATGAGGGAGTTGTCAGAATCAACGCATAGGATAAGATTAAGCATTGTAGGACTCTTAAAAATAAGTAAAAAAAGAAACGAAAAAAAAAAAAATTAGAGTGTTGAATTTTGATAAATTTTAGAAAAATATAAAATAGAGAACACCTAAATATCTGAGGAAGAATGAAGAAGACAAAAGATTCTTGTTATTTTTGCTCCACCTTTTTTGGGCTATTTTCATGTACTTCTTCTCATAATCTTCCTGTGTGAAAGAGGTTTGAGGTTTTGAAAGATTGAGATGTTCCTTGTAGCTAAATAAAGATGGTAATGGTTTTTGTTGATGGTCCCAGGAGGTACAACCTTACTTAAGGGTGTCAGAGTATTTAAGAGAAGTAATTTTTAGTTGGGGATAAACTTAACCATTGGAATTCTTAGTTGAGGGCTGCTGCCGATAGAAAAATTACTTACAGCTAACAATGGAATAGAAACTGTGGACGCAAAAATCTCACCTCCTGCCATCGTAGTACTTGTCATTTTTCTCTAGTAATGATACTGTATAAATAATTAAGAGCCTTGGAACAAGTGTGTCTCTGATGCTTAAGTAACACTAGAGAAGAAGATGAAGTCATGAAGAAGAAAAGTGTGAGACTGTTTTTGGATACAAAAGATTGCATAGCTTGGCCTGTTGGCATACATGGGCCACCCATCTACAGAGTAGATAGAGATCACTGATAAGTACTGATCCAATTGGGTGAAATTCTACCCCATGAATCAGAAACCTTTCAAGTGTTTTTTAATCCAGTTGCAATACCAGTTTCCCTAAAGGACTCTTACTTTCATATTAATCTACTACTTGCTGATGACGTGTATTCCTCTTGGGAATGACCAAATGAGTTTCTTGCTATCAAAAGGATGTTGTTATGTCTTACCAGCATGCTGATTAGAAAGTCGAGACTGTTTTTGGGTTGGTGAAAATAATAGGTTGGTTTTCAAGAGGTCGGATGGATATTCTGGATTTGATTTTGGAGCAGTCAGATCTCAAAGTCTATCATCTGACTTGTAGAGAGCACCAGGATTGGAGATCTTTTCCAGTCCGTAGGGATGCAAATGAATTGAGTTGTTCATGAACAACTCGGGATCGGTTCACTTAAAGTTTGGGTCAAGCTTGTTCATTAAGTAAATGAGTTGAGCTCGAGTTCGGCTAGTAAACGAGTCGATCCCGAACTTTGTTAGGCCTGATTTGTGAACACTAAGCTCCTGTGGGCTCATATGTGTTTATGAACATAGGTTCATATGTATAGGTTCATGAATGTAGGCTCATGAACATATGTTTATAAACATAGACTTTTAGGCTCGTATAAGTTCATGAACAAGTCAAAGTGATCTTAAATACGAGCTCAAACCTTGCACAAACATGAATACAATATCGAGGTTGTTTTTCTTATTTTATATTTTATTTTATTAAATGAGTTGAACCTGAGCTTTTTAAAATAACGATTAGCTGAGCCTAAGCTCTTCTCGAGCTTGGTAAAGTAATGAACCGAGCCCAAGCTGAACCCACAAAAGAACGGGCCGAACCTTAATAGGCTGAAGCTCTGGTCATTTCATTTGGAGTGTAATTTTATCCTTGAACCTATGTTACATGAATATAGGTACAAGTATTGAGTGCGGATGAGTTTTGGACTGGATTTAATCTGCATTTTAAGACACAAAGAAATGTGTCAAACTTTGATACATGCACATAGACATGTACCACGCAATTAAGTACCTTATATGTCATCTGATGTATGATGTTCTTTAAGAATATACTCGATTATGATTTTTATTAATTACCTTGTGGTAAAAAAAGGGTTCTAACCCCAAGGGGATGTAATTTTGGTTAAGAACAACACTGATAAGGTGGAGGTTTTGATTTTGATTTTCCTTCCTTGAGGCCAGCCTCACAGGGATTTTCCTGGACTAAAATTGGCCCATCTCTATTATTATTATTATTACTAATTTTTTTTTTTTTCACTTCATCTTCAATCATCACATATGAATGGCCAAGATGTTGGATTTGGGTTAGTGTCAGAAACACATCTTATACCCATATCCATGTTGCGTTTCGTTGACATGTGCACATGAAAGGAACATGAAGATAGGATAGTGCATGTGACATAGCTTTTGACTATTTAATTTAATGCCCGCTGATGTTCTCACCAGGGCATTATTATTCTTATATGTGGTCATGCAGTGCTAGATGCCTTCTCATTGGGTGTAAATGCCTCGTATACAAAATTTCTAACTGCCCAAGGATGCATGTGACCTACTAACAAAATTTTTATCTTTTTGATGCAAGCATAGTTTTCCAAAACCATTTATTCACATGATCAATGGTGTTACTATTTTTTAAAGAATTTAAGTTTTCGATTTAAATCACTATATTTGGCCTTAAATAGAGCGGAATGGAAACATGGGATTCATGTAGCCGATCCCAAGTAATTGGAAAAAGGGTTGGTTGTTGTTGCATTTAAATCATTATATTTCCCTCCATTCCCTCTCTCGTAGACAACCTTTTGGATTTGGCTCTCTTCATTTGGTGAAGAGTTCGGACTTAAAAATATTGAGATTGAGATAATCATGAAGCAGCAAGAGTGATAGCTGAATCTTTTTTTTTTTTTTCTCTTTCTTTGATTGAATTAGGGATATACTTGTATTCAAATACTCGATTCATCTTGAAAGCACTCGAATCAACTTGAAATAATGCTAATTATATGGATTATTCAAAAGTTGTATAGAAACAATAGATGGACAGGATTTTGTATTAGATTTAGGTTTCTGTATTTCAGATTGACTTGTCCATTGTCTTATATTGTCATTATCATGTACAGCACCGCCTCTCCCTTTGAATTGTACGATCGACTTGTATTTATTGTATCTGAGGTTGTAAGTACTTGAGATTTGTTGTTACTCATTTGAACTTATAATCTTTTTTTATCAGAGAAGGAGAATGGTCCAAGGACTGTAAAAGATGTTAAGTTAATTAGTGCAGGAAAAATACTGGAGAATAACAGAACACTGGGAGAGTGTAGGAGCCCATTATGTGATATACCTGGGGGAGTTACGACCATGCACGTTGTTGTTCAACCACCAGCTTTTGAAAAAGGTATGAATTTTCTCTCAGATATCCTGAGAACCATTTTTGACACTTCAATGTGTCAAAAGTGTCATATTTATTTGTCTCTTGTATTATACCGAATGAAAATTTTCATACCATATGAAGTGAGCATGATTTGTTTTTTCTTAGCATATGAATCATATCTACTTACCACCAAAGGCTGTAGCCTAGTGGTACTTCCTTACCTTCCAAAGTAGAGGGTCGAGAGTTCAAGTTCCCTCCCATAGGGGCAAAGCGGGGGTGTGAGTGCGTATCTTGTCAGTGAAAAAAATAAAAAAACATATCTATTTGTTCTTTCACGCTCTCTTGAACAGAAATCATTCCTCAAATTTGATGAATGGCTTCATTTCATTTATTTTCTCTTTCATCTAAAGCCTTTCAAATTTGGTTCCTCAATATTATGTTTGTCATTTATGAGTAATTTATTTTTTCTTCTTGTGGAGCAGAGAAGAAAGTGCCAAATGAATCGAAGCAGAACAAGTGTGTCTGTGTTATATTATAAATTGTTGGTCCAGGAACTGGAAAGCTGGAAAGCATCATTTGCATGTCGGTAGGTACTTGACCATTCCTTTGATCAATATCATCATTTTTTGCAAACATTAACCTTTCCATTTTTTATATTCCTGCAGATAAATGAAAGCTGGAGTTGGTATAGAGATATTGAGATTGTTGTGCGGACTAACGAGGGGCAGTTGGTCTCGTTTATCATATCATATCATATTTTGATGCAGGTCCATATGTCCATATAGCTGTTGCTCTTGCGCATAGCCTAATTTGTTTTCTGTTAAGTTTTCTACGTTTCTATTTTTGCATTTATAACCTCAAAGTCATCTGCTAAAATTTGTGACTCATCAAATATATCGATCATAGTTGCAAGATCTGACCTATTGAGTACAATGCGCATTTTTTGTATCAGTGATATGTGATTCATGTGTTGACAACCATGACGATTTATATATTTTTTGAGAAGTATACTTGTGGACAATGAAATTCACCACAGGGAAATTGAACAAGTCCTTTTTTATGCCGTGTGGAGATTTGAGATTAGCGTTGTTTCTTGATTTCTAAATGGTTTTGGATGCTTAGAAAAAGAGAACACTTCAAAATAGGTATTTCCGTTGTCTTGGCAATTGGTGACACTAATGTGAACTTTTGGGTCTCAAAGTATGGCCTTAGTTTTTTTGAATTAAAATTAAGTTTGCCATAAACAGATTGGTACGGCCACTATTTGTGGGTGAAATTCCTCTGCAATGTACGAGTACTTTTGCTTTTTTTTTTTTTTTGCCGTATTGAGCAGTGTGATCTTACCATTGTAATGATAAGGGAGTAAGAATGGGCAGAGGACAAGCGCTCATTGCTTTTATGATTCCTCTTTGTGCATGATTGAATGCACAGAGTACCCTGTGCCACAGAGGATTTAAGTAGGGTTTGTTGTGGTATTGGCATAAATATTCTTGGCGTGTTGTTGTTGCGTTCTCTTTTGATTTTGCTGTCTGCGCTTTGTGTGACTACTTTACTTCAAGTCATATTATTAGGACTAATGTGTTATAATTATTGTTGAAACCCTGATTTTGTATGATATAGTACTTCATTAGGGTTAAAATGATGGTGTCTTTACAGTGTAAATTCCAGTAATAGCACAACAACTTGAGTGAGATTGCATTGAAAGGGTTTGGCCGCACCTGCATGTCTTGGACATGAATTAGAATGACGACTAAGCTCTGTGTGTCAATTGTCAACATCTCTGAAATTTTGGTTTTTTGTGTTTGGATTGCCATTGCAGAGTTCCTCAGTTTGGACAGAAAGATAGCAAGAATCTTATAGACTGATGCATAAACAAATTTGAAAAAGAGCTTTGATTAAAATGGCCTTTACGTGGTTTTGAACTATTTAATAATTTCTCTCCAAATTCATATCTTTAAATGTAAAACTCAAAACCATTCTTTTAAAAATGAATAAGAGATACAATCTGATTATGAGATAAACAATTGAAATATATATATATATATATATACACACACACTTTATCGGGATTAATGTTTATAAGTTTAGTCCTAAATTTCACAACTAAACCTCGGTTGTGTCTTGTATACCATTTTCCTTGAGATTCCAATAGAATGAATATGAATTTGGAGGCAAATATTTTTTTTTACTATTTATTTTTGAATAATAAAGTAAACACGCCAATTCTTTTGTCCACACTCGGCTCGAATTATTCTCATTTTCTTTGAGATTAGAAAGATTGTACCACTAGGCAAAAACTATTTTTTTTTTTTTTTTTTTTTGAATTGAATGAAAATATTGTCAACCACATGTGAATGAATGAAAATTTCTTGACCCTGATGGAGTTGAGAGATATTCTTGCTTTTTCTGGTTGTATCAATCAAAATGTACCTATGTATGCATTGTCATAGTACAACAACAAAAATAAAGAAAAAGAAAAAAATAAATTCACTTTATTAATGTTGCCAATTTCGAATGGAAGAGAAATTATTATTTTTAATTTAATTTACTAAAATATATTTTTTTTCAATTTGAATTTTAAGGTGATCCTTACTCTCAAACTTAATTTTTTTTTTTTTCTCAATTTGAATTTTCAGGTGATCCTTGCTCTCAAACAGAATATATATACGTAGTATATTTTACAATTTGAATTTTAAATTGGTCCTTGGTCTCAAATACAGTACTTACTTGTATTATTTAAATCAAATGTAATACGTAGTAAAATGTTGGGTCCCACGTGGGCCGATTGATTCACTTTCATATCCCAAAGCACAAACAAAACCACGCGTATGAACACAGAGAATGATGCACACTACGCACCTCTGCGTACCCCACAATCTCGCCCCCTCCTCAGCCTACGAGAACCTGCGAGAACACGGCCCCTCTAATTTTTGTTTAAATCCCCACACTCTCTCTCTCTCTCTCTATCCACATTCCCAACTCGCCGGTAAATTCGCGAACATACCGACAAAACTCCCCGGGAAATTTTACGTGTGATCACCGGACTCTGACAATGGCCACTACGACGTCGTTCTCCGGCGTCCAGTTTCATGTACCTCCGTCTTGTAATAGAGCCGCTTTGTTTTCTCAGCCGCTGCTCTCGTTGAGCATAGCAGCGAAGCCGAGAGCTCTGAGAACAGAAAGTTCGTTGAAATTGAAGAAGAAGAGCGATGTGTTTCTCACCAGAAGAGCTGAGAGGTTCGGGAAGAGTTCCAGGTCGTTTGTTGTTCGATGCGAAACTACAAGTGGTGGAAGGGTAATTCATCTCATCATCTTTTTTTATATCTATATATACACACACAAAACACACCGATGATATATATTTGAAGCACGCATTTGAAAATTCATTTCAAATCCACACACAAGAAACATATGTATGTTATGGGTGTTCCATGTTTCAATTTGATTTTGTTTCTTATTGGGATTAATTCACATGGTCAATTATTTTGGTTTCATTTGAAGATTTTGTTTTCTTATATGATTGACAGATAAGATAATGAATGGTTAAATATTTTCTGTCTGATACCAATATCTTCTGAATGCTTATTTCAAGCTATGCTCTCAGTAATCTGATTGTTTGGTTTTTTTGGTAATTTGAATTTAAACCAAATTTCTAAAATTGATTGTATGTGTATATATAGCCTGTTTATTTTCTGAAATATGGATCCAAATTTTCCTCAGTTTAGCAAAACAGTAACTAAGTTTAATTCATTGATGAATTTTCCAAACACTTGGTACGAGTCACCTAGAATATAAACAAAGTGAAGTTTTGCATAATTTGAGTTTTTAGGTGAGATTTTTTGTGTACCGAGTTGAGTTGCATTTGTGACACGATGACAGATTACCCAACAAGAGTTCACCGAAAATGCTTGGCAAGCAATTGTTTCTTCACCAGAAGTGGCAAAGGAGAACAAGCATCAGATAGTGGAGACAGAGCATTTGATGAAGGCCCTGCTGGAGCAGAAGAATGGGCTTGCTCGCCGTATCTTTTCCAAGGCCGGGATTGACAATACCCGTCTTCTAGAAGCTACCGATAGGTACATTCAACGCCAACCCAAGGTAACATCTAAATCCTCTTAATTTAACTTTTGAGGTGTCTTTTTCTGCTTGTGTGTAGCTTTACCTCCTATTGTCTGCTTAGAAAAGATAGGGGGGGGGGGGGGGGGGGGGGGGGAGTTAAGAAAATTTGAAGATAAACACAATAAAAGTTGTGAAATATTAGACAATTTTCTTGTAGAAGTGAGATATGGTAAGGGCATACTGTGTTCAATATGGCCTTAGTTTCATACCCAAATAACTATATCATGAAATGGATCATTTTTGACCGAAGATCCGATCCGAGAGGACCTAGAGACCTAATTTACTAAGTTTAGATCTCAACTTAAAATTAGGTATAAGAACATGTTCGTTATCCACCATCAAAGTCCCCATTGGGATTTGTTTTCCGGGTAAAAATAAAATAAAAAATTATCCAATTGAATCTTCAACATCCATTCAACTATTAAATGATAAAGGTGCTCAGATTTTGAAATAAGACTGCCCTGTTCTAGGGAATATGGGTTGGATGTTTCCTCACTTTCTAGCTGTTGTAAGCTTTTTGAATTGTGGTTTCTAATTAACATAATTTCTGCTCTTGCTTAAAGGGGGGAAAATTCAAAAATAAACACAGGAACAGTTCGAGGAGTATAGCACAGATAAACATAGGAACATTTGGGCTGATAGGAAGAGGAAGAGTAGTACTAAAAATTGATTACATATGGACTGGGCTTATAAGTAGTGCTAATTTTTTTTTTTTAATTGAACCTGGGCTATAGCCCAGGTTAGCCCATTAATAGTTCTGCCCCTGGTTTTCAGGATACCTACATTTGGTTTTTTAAAAAAAAATAGTAGAGTAGATATCAAAAATGGTTAACTGCGCCCAAGTACAGTAGATATAAAAAACAGGAGCAATAATGGTGAACTCTCAATAATTGTTATTGAATGTAAATTACTTAATACTGTATTGATATTAGTTTACATAAATTATTAACGCCTCACTGATACCCCCAAGTTGGCTGACAAAAGTCACATTAAGGAGTTAGAACCCCTGTTAGGGTCATTTGAGGGATCTTGCAGCCTCTATGAGGACCTGAGGTTAATTTTCTGCTCAGCTCATGTTTGCTAATCTCTTGTATGTTTACACCTGTCCAATCAATCCAGGTTCTTGGTGAGTCAGCTGGCTCAATGTTAGGACGTGATTTAGAAGCCCTAATACAGCGAGCCAGGGATTACAAGAAAGAGTATGGTGATTCATTTGTGTCAGTTGAACATTTGGTTCTTGGTTTTATACAAGATAACAGATTTGGGAAGCAATTGTTCAAGGATTTTCAGATTTCTCTGAAAATCTTAAAAGATGCTGTACAGGCAATACGGGGTCGCCAGACAGTTATTGACCAAGGTGATAACTATTTCATGCCTTCTATTTTTTACTGCTTTATTGTTAAGTTATGTGATAGTCTGCATCTACTGTGCATGTTAAGGAATTTGTGCTGGTATTATTTGTATTTAATCCTTTTGTTGACCATTTTTTTATTTATTTATTTTATTTTATTATTATTATTTTTGATTTTGCTAATCCAGAATCATTATGCATTTACTTAAAATTGGAAGGAGGATTTTTGTTAGCATCATATTAATATTCTTCTTTCTATCATCGACATAATCTTTCTTTTTTTTGGTATTTTTCATGGTCCAAAGTCATTTACAGATGTTTGCTTCCCACTTGGTGAATAAATCCAGTTTTCTTTTCCTTTTTTCTTTTTGGAACTTGGGACAGTGTTACCATTGAAATTGGGGAAGTTACTTGGGCCTCATGTTTACCATTTAGCACACTGCCACATAACGTTTGTGGTGTGAAAATGGAAAGATATCCCAGTTTTCTGGCTCCTGTGAAGAAGCTTCTTTGTCTTAATCATGTGGACCTGTGCATTTAAAATTTTGGCATTAATGCAACTCTAGCAATTCAGTGGTTAATGGTGTAGCTAGGAATCCTTTCTACATTTGAATCTTTTCATGTTTCATGGTAGTAAGATATCCTTTTGGCAACTTCACTGGTTATGTTGTAGCACCAATGCTGTAATTTACTTTCAAGTAAATGAAATTACTAGGGCATTTTTGTGGGAGCTTCATATGCTATATTGTGTGTTAAGCCTCACATTACAAGTCATGTACAGATCCTGAGGGAAAGTATGAAGCATTAGAGAAATATGGCAAAGATTTGACTGCCATGGCAAAAGCCGGAAAGCTTGACCCTGTAATAGGAAGGGATGACGAAATACGCAGATGCATCCAGATTCTCTCTAGAAGAACAAAGAACAATCCTGTGCTAATTGGTGAGCCAGGTGTTGGGAAAACTGCAATTTCTGAAGGGTAAGATCTTAGATGTTTTGTATTCTACCAAGGGACGAAAATAGTAGTGTAAATTAACTAAGACATTAGGCATTCTTCCTTGTTCATGGCTTCATTTGCTAGCTACTCTCTTGTTTTTCTGATATATTTGTTAGTGCCTGCATTTTATGCTCACTGATCGGCCCATCAATGTTTTAATGCTGATCCATTTATAGGATAAATAGACTTGAGAACGATCATTTGAGCATGAGCCAAGTCTGAGCACTGGTGAACTTAGGATGGCTTGTTGTGTAGTTTAATGAGAGCTTAAGTCATTTTTTTTTTTTTTTTTTTTGGGGGATAGACAAGTATACTCACTCACACATGCCCCTTGGGCTTGAATCCTCAACCTCTCCAAGGGGAGGTGGAGGACATACCACTCAAGTCAAGGCTTTGGTTTTTGAGCTTATGAATTGACAACCATTTTTATTTATTTATGCTAATTTGTTTATTAAATACTCCCTTTGTGCCATTTTAATTGTCCTTTTTTGGGAACCTAACTTTTTAAGTGATGACTTTTAGTGTTTTTTTTTATTGTATTGGTAGCAAATGAATTACCAAATATAGCCATAGTGGGTCCACAGTGATGTGATGGTTTACACTTGAGTTGTTTTTATAAGTTCAATGCAAGAAGGTTAAATTGGTAATATTACAAAAAGTAGTACATTAACTTTTCAATTGGAACAATTATTTTGGGACAGCTAAAAATGGAAAGGTGAACACTTATTGTGGGACGGAGGGAGTATTAATTTAACTCATTTATTTCCTAGAAAGGGTTATTGTGGTGCTCTCCTTTTGTTGGTTTTCATGCCAAATTAGTTCTTCACATTAGTATTACCTTTCTCTAATGGTAATCTTACCATGCCTTTTCTACAGGCTTGCTCAGAGAATTGTAGAAGGAGATGTGCCTCAAGCTTTAATGAACCGAAAGGTGCGTATTTAACATAGAGTTATCTCTCAACTTTAAGAGGATAATGGTGTTTCCTTCTGTTTGTCTCCTCCAGTTTTCAGGTTTATTGGGGGTTTGGGGGTGGGTGGAGTATCAAAATGGTATGACTGTTACAAGTTGCCACCAGTACCAAAATCTGAATATCAAACTGATATGCCTTCTATTTCCAGTTGATCTCCCTGGACATGGGTGCACTCATTGCTGGGGCGAAATACCGTGGAGAATTCGAAGATAGATTAAAGGCTGTGCTTAGAGAAGTAACAGAATCAGATGGGCTTATTATCCTTTTCATTGATGAGATCCACACAGTTGTTGGGGCAGGTACTTGCTAAGATAACCTCTTATTACAGATGCTAATTTGCATTTACTTGATAGTTGAAAGGAAGTTGTCATATATATATATATATATATTGTCTCTCTCTCTCTCTCTCTCTCTCTATGTGCGTGTTGTTGAGTTCTTAAAATTTCAGAAACCACTCTCCTCTACTTGGTCCAAACTACGAGCTTTCTATTTTCTTTGATTTTGCTAAATAAATTATTATATAATGTAACGGGTAGTTCCCAATATTTGGGACAAAGTTCATGTCATGATTCATTAGATGACAACAATTAAGCTCTTGACTTCTATTTACAGGTGCCACCAATGGTGCAATGGATGCCGGCAATCTCTTGAAACCGATGCTTGGTCGGGGAGAATTGAGATGCATTGGTGCAACGACGTTGGATGAATATCGTAAATATATCGAGAAAGATCCAGCTTTAGAGCGTCGTTTCCAGCAAGTTTATGTTGATCAGCCTTCCGTGGAGGATACAATATCTATACTTCGTGGACTGCGAGAAAGATATGAGCTGCATCATGGAGTGCGCATTTCTGATAGTGCACTTGTTGAAGCTGCAATTCTCTCAGATCGATATATCAGTGGGCGCTTTTTACCTGACAAAGGTAAGTGATGTGATGGTGACACACTAGCAGCCTAACAGGCCTAGGGATCTTACTACTACTACTACTACTACTACTATTATTATTATTATATGCTAATTCGAGAACGACTTGTTTTCATGCACATTATTATTAATAGCTGTGAGTTGGAAATCTCGCAGCTATTACATTTGGTACTAAAAATAACTTAAAATTTTGAAAGATATAAGCTTTATGCGCTTCTGCAACTTTTAGCACATTTAATGGAGTTTGGGAGGATCATATACTGCTCGAGGGTTTTAATTTTTTATAATGAAAAAGAAGGGGGGAAAAAAAGACTTTATGGTATACCATAGCTAAAGTCTGGAAACAGTGATCTATCTGGGTCGCGAATTCTACCAGCTGTGCAGCTTTTAGAATGATGCCTGAAATTAAAGAAAGAGAACAAACATCATGGAAGAAGATAACATTTTAGAGAAACAATAAAAATTTTCTAAACTATTTAATTAATTCTTAATGCTTTGGTGGAACTTATCTTAGTACAATTTGTGGGTTCCAATATAATACGTCTATTAGCTTCATTAACCATTCTACTTGTGTTGATCCAAATAATGGGCATGTAGAAGTTGCATGGATGACTAACATATCCAATTGAACTGCAGCTATCGACCTAGTTGATGAAGCAGCTGCGAAGCTGAAAATGGAAATCACTTCCAAACCCACAGCTCTTGATGAGATCAACCGTGCAGTTTTGAAGCTAGAGATGGAAAGGTTATCTCTGATGAATGATACAGATAAAGCTTCGAAAGATAGGTTGAACCGCCTTGAGGCAGAGCTCTCTCTTCTAAAGGATAAACAAGCACAATTGACTGAGCAGTGGGAGCATGAAAAATCTGTCATGACACGCATACAATCAATCAAAGAAGAGGTATGGAGTTCTTTTTGTCATTACTCTGGCAAGACCTATCTCATCTGTATATAATTCGAGTTTAGTGAGAGCATGTGCACTTCAATTTAGAAAACAGTAATCTAATTAGAGACAAATATGCTGGTTACTGAAAACTCAACTGGATGTGGTCAGGTCAATTAGAATAAGTAAAAATCATGATATATCCAATAGCCACCAAAAAAAAAAAAGAAAAAATGTAAAAGAAAAAGGAAGATCTGTGAACTCGGAAGTGGCATCCTGAAATCAATTTACCATGTGTGTTTGTTCAGATTGACAGGGTAAATCTTGAGATCCAGCAGGCTGAGCGGGAGTATGATCTTAATCGCGCTGCTGAATTGAAGTACGGGAGCTTGAACTCTTTACAACGTCAGCTTGAAGCTGCAGAAAAAGAATTGGTTGAGTATATGAAATCTGGTAAGTCAATGCTCAGGGAGGAAGTTACCGGGGATGATATTGCTGAAATCGTCAGTAAATGGACCGGTATTCCTGTTTCCAAGCTGAAACAATCAGAGAGAGAGAAGCTGTTGCATTTGGAGGAAGAACTGCATAAACGCGTTGTGGGTCAAGAACCTGCCGTGAGAGCAGTAGCTGAGGCTATCCAGCGATCTCGAGCAGGCCTCTCTGATCCGCACCGTCCTATTGCTAGTTTCATGTTCATGGGTCCTACAGGAGTTGGAAAGACAGAGCTCGCGAAGGCACTAGCTTCCTACTTGTTCAACACTGAAGAAGCCCTTGTACGGATTGATATGAGTGAGTACATGGAGAAGCATGCAGTTTCAAGATTGATAGGTGCTCCACCTGGTTATGTTGGATACGAGGAAGGCGGACAGTTGACAGAAACAGTACGAAGGAGGCCATATTCAGTTATCTTGTTTGATGAGATAGAAAAGGCTCATTCTGATGTGTTCAATGTTTTCCTTCAAATTCTGGATGACGGGAGAGTAACCGACTCACAGGGTCGAAAAGTCAGTTTCACGAACACAGTAATCATTATGACATCAAATGTGGGTTCACAGTACATACTTAATACAGATGATGAGACCTCGCCAAGTGAGATGGCCTATGAAACTATCAAGCAGAGGGTAATGGAAGCTGCAAGATCAATTTTCCGTCCAGAGTTCATGAACCGTGTTGATGAATATATAGTTTTCCGGCCCCTGGACCGGGAACAGATAAACAGTATTGTCAGGTTACAGGTATGTTTTCCACCCGATGCTCTGAGTGCTCAAATTGATTCCTTTACCAGACTATTTTTCAAATATATCTAGTTCTTTTAGGGGAGCAGACCATGAGTGGATATTTTTATTAGTTGCAACACAAGGCTTAGTACATATGTACAAACGTCATGTTGTTCCTTCCATAATGGTGTTTTTCCATCTTCAATGAGATCAAAGATTCTAGGGATGCAACTAGGGTTGGTCAACCTGAGATCTGCAGTCCTAATCTAATCACTGTTCTTTGGGTATCATTTTGTTCATTAATAGGGAATGAACAAAAAAAGAAATATATATATACACACACGTTTGTCACGATGCATTGGATTTTCCACAACCTTTTAGGAGTGCCTGCCTATCATAAATCACTCTCTCTCTGTGAAAGCATTACTTACAGCAATTGCTGTCAAAACTTTCAGCCTCGTCATGCTTTTTGTGACCTCTCTTAGAATGTAGTTCGGTAGTATACATACCCTTTAGATGCAAATTCGATTTATCTTACCTCTGTGTTTGAATGTGTATTCCAGTTGGAACGAGTGCAAAAGAGGATAGCTGATCGGAAGATGAAAACCCAAGTGACCGATGCTGCAGTTCAGCTCTTAGGAAGTCTTGGATATGACCCCAACTATGGTGCTCGGCCAGTCAAGCGGGTGATCCAGCATTATGTTGAGAATGAACTTGCCAAGGGCATCTTGAGAGGAGAGTTGAAGGACGAGGACACTATCCTAATAGACACAGAAGTGTCTGCATTTTCAAATGGGCAGCTTCCCCAGCAAAAGCTAGTCTTCAAGCGCTTGGATCCTGACTCAGATACTCCTGCTGCAGGAAATCAAGAAGCAGTTCCACAGACTTTCTGAACGACTTGTAATATAGATGCACCTCAGTGACAGGTTTTACACACGACCCACCTCAGATGTCTAGTTTTGCCAATAAATTTTATTTCATTTTGTATAAAACGTGTTTCTTACACTACTGTGAAGCTTTGAGCGGGAAGATGTTCTGTTTTTTTACTTTTCTCAAGAGTATTTACATTTGCTTTCCGGTCACTTTGATATGTGGTTCTCTTTTTCCTCCCCTAATAGTTCTGGTAGAGTGAAAATTCCTTGTTTCCTTTGAAGCATTATTGATCTTTTTAGGTTAGAATATACTCCGTATTTGTATTCAAGAAAATAGTTTACCAACGCAGAGATGAATTCTCCTACTTTGTTGCGTGCATTGAGATCATTTGAAAGTTGATTTATATGGCGCTAATTGTCTGTTTTTTTAGTTTCCAAGGGACAATATTGGTTTTTAGTTATAGTCATGGGTATAAATAACCTAGACCTTAAAGTTTGATTAGTCAAGTCCAGTTACAGGTCTGTTCGAACCGCATTTTCCCTCCGAAGTCTGTTTTCATCTCTAATTTGAGCCTTTTTCAGACACCGTTTTTCATTCAGCTGTAAATTGAACTATTTTTCAAGTAATATTTTGTTTCAAGTTCTATTCATTTAGAAGAAAACTGAGTAAAGCAAATCTTCTATTTTGTTTCTCCAACTCACTCTTCCATGAATGACGCAATGTGGAGAACCACCCACCCACACATATCCTCAATCTTGCTTCTCCAACTCATTCTTACATGAAAGCAGAGAAACACCTACTTCAAAATAAACCAACTAGAATCGGGATCCTCTTTTGTGCACGGAGGAGGAGGATAGAGATTACTGTATGTGACAACCATACTCTAAACTTAATTAAGCAAATCTTCAATTTTGCTTCTCCAACTCTCTCTTACATGAATGAGGCAGTGTAGAGAAACACCCCATTCAAAATAAACCAACTATAATCATGATTCCGGAAAAATAAACTAATGGAATCACAATATTGTTTTGTGCGCAAGAAAAGATGGAGATCACTCCACTATTTTTTCAACCTTTTCACGTAATAAGATTTAATTCTATTAAATATTGCTAGTGATTAGAGATTACTCCACTCACTTCGAAATAAACTAATGTAATCACGATATTGTTTTGTGCACAAGAAAAAATGGAGATCACTCTACTATTTCTTCAACCTTTTCACGTAATAAGATTTAATTATGTTAAATATTGGTCTTTTAAGTGGATGAACAAATTGGTGACTTTTCTAAGAAAAATAACAATCAATAAAAGGTAAAAATTACTGTCTGAAGAGTTAACTACGTTGGAGTGAGTCTCTTGACTAGTTTCCTTCAGCTACACTAGACAGATTTTAATATTCAACTGGGACAGAGTAGATGTGTGAACTTACCTATAAAAAGTTAAAAATAAAAACTTAAAAGAATACAGCAAATTAAGATTATGTATAATATTATTTACCCAATCAATAATAATAATAATCATATGTAATATTTGTTCTTATAAATTTGTAAGGCCTCTGGTCCTGTGTCACTCGGGTTTGGGCCTTTGAATACTGAACTAAAATTCTCTTTGGGTTTCATTTTTATTTTTATTTATTTATTTATTTTATTCAAGACCGCAAAAAAGGAAAAGATCCACAACGAAACGCACCGTTTTCGTCAACATTCCTATTGTGGCTCTTCGCTGAGGACACTGCTAGTCTAAGAGCTAAAACAACCCTCTTAAAGCGAGAATTGAAACACGTCCAAAGTCGAAGACTCGTTGGGGGATATCAATGGGTAATTTCTGAATCATTTCAGTAAATGGGTTGGAGAAATAACTAAAATTGAAAACATATATATATATACACACACATTTATAGAATATCTTTGTTGTTAGGAAAAGGCTTTCTTTTGTTGTTGCAGATGAAGGAGAACAGGAAGAGTCAGGAAAGAGGGAAAAGGTGGAGGCGGTGATGGAAGGAATAGCATCAATAGTTTTGTTGCCATGTGGCTCCATCTCTGGCCACTTCATTCAACTTCCCCATTCCGTCTGCTATGGCCTCCATGGCACTGGTACCGCCTCTCTCTCTCTACACACACACACACACACACACACATATATATATATCAGTATATATAGACCTACACATAGTGAAATTCAATTATTACCCATCATATGGTATGCTGTGGGTTTTTTTTTTCCTCTCTTCCACTAACCTAGGTCTGAAACAGTCCACCAGCATCCTGCCAAAATTTTGTTTTCTTCAGAATCACAATTTTTTGTGCTCCGTAGAATTTGTCTTGGACTCCTTTGTTGTAGTTTCAAACTGTTGATTGAATTTGTTGTTTAATGAATTGGGGAAATATTTAGTGAAAATAGAAACATGGTGGATATGTTTGTGAAAATTAGTTGGACACTTAAAAATAATTTTTCGGTTAGAGATGCTGACTCTGTGTAAAACTATACTAAATAATCCCAGCTAGTGGGAATGGTTTTTTGAACCCTGTCTCACCATTCAGTTCTATCTAAAGCTGTTGTTATCTCCAAGTATTTGGACATTGATGTTCATGTGTGTGTGTGTGTGTGTGTGTGTGTGTGTGTGTTTATTCTTTTCTTGGAGACAGAATTAGCTTGTGAAAGGGAATGTAGCAGGGGAGAGGATTACCGCTTGATCAAGCTCACAATCACAGACTACTATGTAGGAGTCGCTTGATTCTTCTACCCCATTTGTGAGTTTCCTTCGTTTTTCATTATCCGGCCTTTCTAATTTTCGTTTAATGAATTTTTGCATCAAAGAGCAAGAAAGAACGTACTGTTGTGGTGGAGTGCAGAGGACATGATGCTGCTCGCTTCTGTAACATTGATCATGCTCATGGGTAAGCCATTTTTTAAGCTGAGAACTCTATGCACACTGTATTTTTTAGTATTTTAAATGTCTGATGGCATTCGTTATATTTCTGTAACATTAATGAATTTTAAGGATGTGATAGAAGTTAGAATCTCTAGATGACATTGCAGTTAGAACTTAGAAAGTTTCTAAAAATTATAAGACTGTAGAGGAGGTATATTTACTAAGACTAATTTTTGTATGTGGGTATCTTTATGTATAACATCAAATCTTCAAATGTAAAATAATAATACTAGTTGTAATAGTTGTTACAACAACAATAATTGTAATAATAATAAATTGTTTGTTAGTATGTTTTGTAGTGGCTTAATCTCAAACTTACTTCTGGCTCTACTTAAGAACTCGGAATATGCTTTCTTTTTATATTCTACAGCCTTGTACATTCCATTTCTATACAGATGGGAGAACGATGTTGTGGGTATGGTTGAAGAGAAGCATGGAAAGAGCAAGATTTTGGTTTCTTTTGAATGTGAGACACTCAAAGCTGAGAAAGCGGCAGAAGACCATATTAGGCAGTTCATGCCCAAATTTGCTGGGATGGATGCTGTTGGTAAGTAATTTTTTTTGTATTCTTTTCCATTTTCCATACCTTTTCATTATGCCCTCTTCTACTACATGCATTGTTTCGAGAAGTTCTTATAAACCCATCAACAGTTTGGCCTTGGGTTTCCCCTCAAGTTTACAAAGGCCAGTTCTCCCGCCTACATGGTGTGTTGAGAGGGTGGATGCAAAGACAAACTAAACTTTTGGCATTGTTTTTGCACAAAGTGGCTGTTCTCAAAAAACAAACGCAACTGGGCATATGTTTAACCATTTGCATTATTTGCTTAAATTGACTGCTTTCAAGTTCGAAACTGCTTTCTCATGCTCGATGACTTGAGGTTTACCGCTATATTAAGCAACTACCCCTAAAATACCACAAAATTAGTGTCAGATTTAGAATCACAGCTTTGCAATCAGTCCAGAACTGGCACATGCCATATTGAGATAATCTTAATATAAGATTCGAGTTCGGTCACGATCCTGGTTTGGCAGCATGTTACAGTACCTAACCAAGTTCTATCTTTTATTTTGTTTGTTAATTTATTTGATAAATACAATAAACTTATGCTTTTTTAATTATTTATTTGAATATGATTACCTTTAACTTCTTATGATAATTCTCAAGAATTACTTTGAGCAATAAAGTTGATTGAAACAATACAACATGAAACCCTGGATTGTGCCTTCGGATGCAAACTGATAAGAAAGAATGACCATTGCCATTCTAGCATATAGCAAGAATGCTCTGGCACTGTTATGTTGTCCATCACTTCGTTCCAAGACTGGTATATTGCTCGTATTATTTATTTCTTGCATAATTCCTAACACATATGGTTTGAATGTGCAGTTAACATTGGCCACATGAGTATCGCAGGCTTGGACTTTGAAGCCGATGCTGAACACGAGCATGTTGAGCAGAATATATGAGACAGTGAATGTTCTAACTTTCTTGTTTACAATATGCTGGATAGGTGTTTGATGGCTCTGGTCTTAACATCAGTCAAACATCTGATGTAATTCTCGTCTGCATTCTGTTCTTCACTTCAAAATAACCAGATCTTAATCTGTTCATTACCATGCCACCATTATGTAAATTATTTACATGTTCTGTTTTGCTAAATCAATGCACACACTGTAATGCATGGAATTTATTTTACTACGATTCCCAAGTGGTATGCAAATACTTCAGATGCCAGTCACAAAAAAGTGTGAAGATCAATTAAAGATTTTGTACTCCAACAGTTAAAGCCGAAGTTGGATTGAGAATTTCAAGAATTATTTTTAATATTTTGCACCTTGCTCATTTCACTAGTCGTTTAGTTTACAATCATACCCCTCAAAATGAGAGTTTTAAATATGGGTAAATAGGAAACCAACCCTATCCTTTGATTTGATATGGGTTGCAAAAAAATGCAGGAACCCTCATCATGGAATCCTCCCTGAATCTCCATGACATAAAAGCTTACATATTTTGATGTACCTAGACCATCACATTTATGTTGATATCAGTGGCTGCAAGGAGGGTGTGAAATGAAGCATTTCTTCAGACATCAAAAATCAACTAAAACATGAATGCTTATTGAATTGGATTCGCCATTGTTTACTTGGACAAGGAGAATGAGAAAAGAGACTGCTAAGACAGTTTCTACTTCAATGCTAGAAAAATAAACCAGAAACAACTACCGGAGCTTTCTCAAATTGTTTTCAAGTGTTCTGCCCAGCCCCTACAGTGTGCCTCAACTTGAAGCATTGATCACAATAATAGGCCATGATGTTACCGATACCTTCAGGCTTTCAGTAGAATTCCTAGGTAAAACAGGTAAATCACAGATTTATTATAAAAATTGTGTGCAAATTCACAGATTCTAATCTGTCATTCAAATCTGAATAAACATATAATTGGATACAATGTACATAGGATTACATGGTTCACAACCACCTTACTAGCATTAGCTTCGAATCCTCACAGCTAAGAAAGATTGGGATGTGAAATATTCATACACGTTTAAATGATACAGTGGCAGTTGATTTTAGCTTCCACCGAAAGATGAATAAAAAGCCTGTTAATATATGGCTTTACTCAGGTCTATGTCAGATCCACCACGAAATGGACATTCATCTTTGGAATTACATAAAATCCTGTCCAATAATAAAATATAGTAAGATAAAATAAAGTTCTTTACCACATATATAGGCAATTAGGCAGTTCAAACAAAATCAGAGAAACATTTACATCATCTAATGTATATATCCATCAAATTTATAAAAGAAAATCCTTGTGCTAGAGGGTACCTTGGTTTCGTTTCAAGAATTACTCGATCTCAGACGTTTCTTCTGAATCAGACAAGGGTAAGAGGGTGCAGATCCCAAGCACATGCCCATTAAGACACACATAATACTCAATGCAATCTCTGTAGGCACCTAACCTACAGCTGGCACTCTGCGGTATCATTTTTGCTTGCAGCATGCTCCAAAGCTTTGCCTTACAATAGGGGCACATCTCCGTTGGATGGAGCTGGGCCCGTTTTCCGATCAGCATCTTCCGAACCTTTGACCCTGCAAATGACTTGAAAATTCCACGAAAAAATCCAACATCCCCCTCTTCCCCTTGGTCAAGGTGTTCACAGGGATCAGAGACATACAAAATATCTGTTCTGCACTGTGGTAAAAGAAAACTTTTCCCTGATGTCCTGGAGAACCGGGTCCTGTGAACAAAGTGACCAGGAATATGAATGCTGTTGAATAGCCCCTTGGTACATCCTGAACAGTAAATAAGGAGCTTCCCGAGTGACCTCCAGTTACCATCAACATTGTGACTCCCACTAGATTGCAGATCAAGCATCATCTTTGGAGCTCTTGTTCGGCAAAACTCCTTCCAGAGTACTCTCTTAGCAAGATCATCAAACCATTTGCATGCAGAAGAAAGAGTGGATATCAACTTGGGGTTCCAGTTCAAATGTTGAAAAAGTAGGAAGATAACTTCTTCAGTTAGATGCCCTTTTGTGCACGCACAGCTTGCTGAATGTATGCAACGATACTGCTTTGCTATAATCATTATCACCACCTAGTCAAATCAAAGGAGGTAATTATAAAAATCCTCGCTGTATCATCTGACAGATGTTAACTTTGTAAACATATCTTTTTTTTTTATTTACTTCCTTTTTTGGATAAATTCAGTAAACATATAATCAGAGGCGATATTACATACACAAATTTATCCTATGAATGTCAACAATTAGGATCTAAGTGGCTGATTTTTACCAAAATTCAAGATGAAAGAGGTTTAATGCCAATAGCACTACAATCTCAAAAAATATAAGCCAAACAAATTTTACAATTAGAATAACACAATAAAATAATAGGGTTCCTATTCAATTTACATGTAAGATGTTGAATATAATCCGGTCAGGTGGCTATTTACACGTGTTTGCTGGCTTTGTTAAATGCTCTATTTCCCTTCATGTATCCATGTCATCATGACACTACATGGGTATGGGTACAAGACATGCTTCTAATGTACGGACAAAAATCACACGCTTTGAGCCTTCACATAGCATGATTGAAGGAGAAGAAAAAACTCAAATTTAAAAGCAGAGATGAGTTTCCTCTCTATGAGATAGATGGAAACTCTCTTCTTTTACTGCGTCCCATTTAATTTGAGTAATAATTGAGTATATTCTTAAAAATCAACAATATTAAACATTAAAATGTAATAATATAATGTATTTAAATGCGCAGCACGTCTTCACGTACTCATATCCAACTTTTGACACGCCCCTGTATCCTAAGATTTGGGTTTTGAGGGGTCCGACACTTAGGGATTTGAGGGGTCCGACACTTAGACACACCCGCACACGATATACTTGGACACACATCTGCACACAATATTAAACATTTGCCCAGAAGAAATCTAACGAAAACAGTAATGCTTTTAGTGAAATGACTTGCCAAAATCCATAACGAAGGAAAATGCTCCTATGTGAAGTTTTTAACTTTCTGGTTCAGTCTATGTAACTTGTCCTGAAAGCAAATGAACATTGTGTTTCACAAGATGCCTGACTACTTGACCTTTCAAAGATCTTTTATAAAGTTTATTAGCTTCATCATATACCAACACAAAACAATAGGCCGATAAAAACACAAATATGAAATTGAATAAGCTTAGAATAAAAAAATGATTGGAAGACATCTACTCTCAAAGAATGAAGGCTTTGTTGAGTTAAAAAGAATATTGGAAATTCGGAACCATCTACTGTGTGTGTATTATATATATATATATTCAAAAGGTTGAGGTTTTTAATGTTGATCAATGAGTTGTCCTCAATCACTTCAACTTAAATGTTATAATATTCATAAATGAGTATCAGTTATACAACTGTCTAGATAAGTGGATAGCCATGGACTCGGTCCAAAATGCACTTCATTTAAAAGTTCATGTCACATTTTATCAAATTGTTTTGCATTGGAATTTAGAATGAAGCATGTCATTGAGTTTCCAATAATGAATATCTGATTTTATATTTCCACTCAAGTGTCTGGCAAGGAGCATAGTCTTTAGGGTGTCAGCCTTCAAAATAAGAGGAACTGAAATTAAATCTGCAAGTACTACCAAGAGATTAGCTCTAGTGTTATCTCCTCTACTTTCCAAGTGAAGGTTCAAGTCTCCATAATAAACAATTGTGTGCATATGTGTTACTTACCAAAAAAATTGTCTACAAGTATGTTTACACTAAAGAAATTGGGAACTTTATGACAGACAGTAGGCCTTCAAAAGAAAAGAAACGGAAAATGAGTCTACGAGTACAAGGTATTCACACACAAAAAAAAAAAAAGTTGTGACATTTTATAAACCTAAGAAGTAAGGTCTACTTGTTTCCAAATAAAGCATTCGTCACTCTCATCACATATGGAAGTCTCAAAGAAATATCACTTTCCCGAAACTTTTTTCCCAGACAATAACTACCATTGAAACAACAACGTAAAAGGGGTAAAGATGTTTAACTTTGCCATCCATTGGTAAAGAACGAAACTCTTGACTATTTTACTGTTTTAGATGGTTCTGATTGCATATCTCTAGGCTCTCAAGTGTTTAAACTACAAGATGGCAAAGGGGTGTGTACAAGAAAAATAGAGGAGCACAACTTATAAGGTAGACAGTTATAAAATGATTCAAAACTCTTCATTGTTTTCAGAAGTGGTAAAAGCTTCTACATTATGGAATTAAACAATTAATTATTATACTTATTAAATCCGAGTGACCTAACTCAATAAGTATGGTCTAAATAACACCTCAATTTGTTGAAATAAACAACCAATCAAGAAATCGCATGAGTACAAGCATTGAGATGCATAAACATCTTCACGTACTCATAAATATACTGAAGCTTCATATATAAATTAGATTAAGGCAGAGTCCAACAGGTATGTTGTATGATAGTAGGACTGGTATATCGGCAGTTCCTCTGCTTATACCATTGTGTAATGATAATTACCGATTGTTTTAAAGAAAAATTTCAGGATTTTTTTTTCCTATGCATGTCAGTAACCACAGAAGTTCAAGATCCAAAAGATCCCTATGCATCAAAATTAAAGTGCCTCCACAAATTTAATCAAACCCATCAATCACTAACAATCCTTTACAATTTCGCTTAGATCAACAATCTCTTTTGCAAAAATTCTCGAAGCATGACTGAATAACAACTGCATTTATTCCAAAATATGTAACAGTTCAAAAAACCCTAATCCACGTCCAAAATCAACATTTAAGTCTTCCACCAATTACAAGGAAACAGAATTTACTTCGAATCAGTTAATAACTATGAAAATACTAAGTCAAATAAAAATAAAAAAACCCCAAAAACAAAATGATAATGATAATAAGAGGTCTAATTGGAACAAAAAGGAGCTGAAACTGAACTAGATCATAATTAACTTGAGACCCAAACCCCAGTTTTCTCACCTTAATTCATAGAGATCCTTTGGGTGTCAGCTGAAAATCGAACCAAACAAGCCCACTGCAAGAAGAAACAAAATATTAGGGCATGGCCATTGAATGGTTTGCAAAGGCAAATTGAAGAGTATCAAAGTGAGAAATTACCAAAGCTTTTGCAAGGAATAGTGAACTTTTTCGTCCAGGCAGAAAATGGTACCAGGACTGATGTAGCCTGTGCGCTGTAAGCTGTTGCAGACATGAGAATAGAAGATGAAAGGGGGCTTTAGATATCATCAAGAAGTTAAAAAAATAAAAAATAAAAAATAAAAAAAATAAAAAATAAAAAATTATACATACATACATATAAAAAATTCGTGGAGATTATATAGTGACAGTAGGTCATCTAAGAAGAGTCAAAGCATGTTTATAGTTAGTACCACGTGGGTTTGCGGATTTTGAAGAGCTTACGTGGCATTTTTGGCAGAGAGATGTGGGACCATTCTGTTCCATTTGTCTGTCAAGTAATGGGTTGTCATTCGGTCACCAAGTATGTGACACCACACCACAACTGTTCTCAGTTCCTTGATTTGTCTCCTCCATACATCCGTTATTACTCGTATTATTATTATTATTTTTCGGAAATTAGAATACATCTAATTTACTATTCCTGTTTTTAGAACAAATTTTCGTCCAGGATTGTAATATTTGGATTTTGGACTTCACATATTTTAATGAGTAAAAATAAATAAATATCTGTGTTTCGTGTGATAAGAACATCTTGGCCGTGTTTCTCGGAAAAAAAAAAAAAAAAAAAAAAAAATCCTTGTCATTAATTGGTAATGTAATTGTTGCTTTCGTCTTGTGTCCATAATAACTGGAGTTCTTAATTGTTCAATTATGAAAAATTCAAAGGAACGAAACCTTTGATATCAATAATTTGTTGGTAGTATGGTGGAGTAATTACTATGAAACATCTTAATTCATAAATGTTGAGAGGATGCAATGTTCAGCAATTCCTTGTTTAGATTGCTATCCCTAATCAAGATCGCATAAAAATTCATAATTTTATTTCTATTGCAATTAGAACCTAAAGAAGATATGGAAGGAAAATTTTTGTATTGGTTTGAAGGTATCATCAACTGCAGGAAGAATTCAAGAGAAAATAAAAGAAAACGCATTATCAGTCTGCGGATTCAAGATATAAGCTTACACCCATTAGCAAAAATAAGAATCTACTATGAATTGCTCCATTGGACACACTGCCACACCAGAAAACAGAATATGTATAATTGATACCACATAACACAGGAACATGCATATTAAACATTTTCAGTCCATACAAACAAGAAAGCAAGCTACCCAGAAAACAACTGCTACAATAACTTTTCAACTGCTTTGTATGCACAAGCCAAAAAGTTAACTGCAAGATTGCTAACGAAAGAGTAGAGTCGTCGAATTACACCATTGATGGGGTTTGGTTCCAACAGAGATGGATACTATTTTCAGGTGCAAACTTCTTCTATTCACAGGATCCAAGGACTAGGAACCCAACGGCATTTCAAGAGATGATTTCCCTCACCAGCCAATCCAAACTAGGTATTGCCAAGTACAGAATCAGAAACGACGGAAGGGCAAATACGACAGTGACGAGTATGTACAAGGCTAAGATAGCTGCACTGGTAGGAATTGCATATACCACAATCAGAAGGAATATGAAAACCAGTGGGAACTTTGCTGTCAAATGGGCAAAGAAAGCCAGAGACTTCCTAAGGGAAGGGTGTAATCTCTCCACGGTATTGACACGGTTTTGAACATGGTTTGAGCGAGAAGGTTCAGTATGGTGAATATGTTGACCCCTCCGGAGGATAGGGTGGCTGGCTTGGCTTCCTGATGCTAAGCTGCTGTATGGCGGCCAGATTGGTTGGTGATGATTCTCACACAGAGGAGAAAGTGATTTCACTCTATCACCATTCAAGCTCTCAACCATCCAAAGCAGGAAGAAGTTCTTGCGAGGGAACTTGACGTTTCCCCTATAAACCAGACGGAGGGACAAGAGATTGCACCATGGGCAGGAGATAAAAAGTGGAAGCTTAATTTGTAGGCTTGGAAATTTGACAACAGCCCACTGCAGCCCTAGGATGCAATTTTTACAAAGGGTATGGCCACACCACAAAACATAAGGTACATTTTCGACAATGTTGAAAGATTCCCAGCAAATTGGGCACTCTAGAACCTCTTCTGTGATGGTGTTCCAAGAAATTTCATCGTCTGAGGATTCAAAAGCAGCATCAATTGGGTTTACCAAGTTTTTCTTCAGTCCAACGCATCTAGCTATGCAGCCGGATGAAAAATTCCACATTGTGGTAGCATAGGACACGTGATTACAAAAAGAACATCACTTGCTAATGTTGAAAAATGTAATAAGCAGCTGGTACTCATGGACCATCATCCCAACCATCTTTTCAATTTTAACTGCCAACAATATTTGTCCTGCAGAGTCAAACATGAAAGGGAAGTTAGGAATTTATAAAATAAAAATCATCTGTGCACCCAAAATCAAAGTTGTTGACGGTGAAACAAGACTAGTTGCTTTTCCATCAAGATGAAAACATTACACTGGGGAATTGATTATGCTCTATGAAATGTTGAAAAGAAAACTTGGTTCTTGACCACAACCTTTCATATTCAAGAATAAAACACACAAACACACATATTTTAGGACAGACGATCCAATAAGTCCCGCTTAATAAATGTCTCAATGTCAAAAATGAATTAGAACACAACTTCTAAGGGTATACAATTGATAAATCAAGAGTACCGAATACAAAGTTAACTAAATATGTTCATGTTCTATCTTGATGAGTTCCCACAATATTTGAACAATTCTCATGAAGCACGTAGATGAACACAAAGCAAAATGTAAGAGTTTACTAAGAGAGGGCCCAAAACTTTGTAAGAGTTATGCAGAATAATACTAACAAAGAATTGAATCACTTCATGGTATATATATAAGGTACCATCATCGAGTTACTTTAAAATGCAAAGAATCTACTCTGCATCAATGCCAAATAAAGCCAAATACAATAGTTCAAAAGCTCAACCATTTAGAAAGCAAGCCACAGAAGCTCAAGCTAGTTCCAGTGACTGGCCTTAACCAAGCTCAAATAAGGAGAACTGAGCTTGAACCTGTAGCCAGTAAGTTTGCAATGTGAGACCAAGGTAGAAGAGCTTAACCTTAAAATGATAATTTCCACCGATCCAAACAACCCAAATATACTTTGAACAAAATCCCCATTTTTCCACAAGATATACCATTTATGAGAGTGCCCAACAAACATGAAAGGAACAAAAACACATTCACTCTTTCCAAGCAATGCAATAACACTGGAATCAACTTTATACCGCGCAGCGCTCTACACCCAAAACTTGATCAATCACACACACACACACACACCTTAAAAAGAACATTTGGGTTCAATTTGAAAATTCCATTCATAGCCAAATTCAAAATCTTTACAAGTGAGTGTTTCATCATAAGATTTTTAACCAACACCACATTAATAATCATTCTACACAACAACAGTATCAACAAAATATATTGTCGCCTGGAACAACAAAGAACCCTATGGTCCCTATAACTAAAAACGAAACTGATCGCATTAATTTATCATAAAATTTAGCGAGTGGTCAAAAAAAATGGGAGAAAAAACCTATGTTAAGATTGTAATAAAACCCTAGAACTAAATTATAGGGCATGATCACGCATTAAAAGTAAAAAACAATTGATCCACACAGAAATTAAGCATAAATCACAAGTATAATCAGTATATAATTTAGAATCATTATGATTGTAAATAGCAAAAACAGATTTAGGGTCATTGAGAGGCGACCTTTACCGATTGCTTGCGGCGATTTCAGTTGAATTTGATGGGAGAGAAGAGAGGTGCCATCAAAAGAAAACCACACTCCAGTCTCTCTCTCCTCTGTACAAACTTGAAAAAACTGTGTCAATTGTTTGTTTTGGTATATTTTGACAGATCGACCATAGGTGGAATACCCGTTTGAGCCCACTTAAGTCTCATTCATTTGAGTCATGGTTTGAAATTGGGCCTCTGCCTTTGTATAAAACTGTTGTAACTTTGGGCCTAGCCCACCCGAGAAATCCAGTCTTAATTTTGAGATGATGATAAATAATTCGATCTAGTTTTGCAATTTTAGTGTAGTACATGTCTAAGTTACATAAAGCGTGAGCTCCCAATGAGAGTAAATTCGGGAAGCGCAAAAGTAGCAAAATTTAAATCACAAAAAGTGGGAATGAGAGTGAGAGCGCGTCACCTGTTGAAAATGATTATATAACTTAAGTTCATATAGTTTTTAATTTTTTTTTTTTCCCATAATTGAGGTGTCCCAAATTTTGCCTCGACTAATCTAGAATACAGAAAAGATGTTTGCATTAAATATTATCTGTGGTGCAATTATTTCAGTGTGATATTTAATTGCCAAATCAAGACAGACGAGAATGGGTGGTTGCATTTAGAAGTATGAATCATTGTAAATATTGTTGGAAGAGTTTTGAAATTCAAGTATGAATCATTGTTTAGTTGAAAATGCTTATAGTACTTCACCCATTTAAAGTGCTTTTATCTCTTACATGATGATGTTCAGTAATGATTTAGATTTGTCTTGTTGACTGTTGTTATTCAAATTTTACTTTGTAAAATGAATATATATATATATATATATATATATATATATATATATATATATATATATCAGTTATAACCAAATCAAAAAACCTCAAGGCATGCAAATCCTTATGCGTGTATTTGATGGAGACGTACAACACAGACCTTTCTTCTACTTGTTTAGTGTGAGACATTTTTAAGGAAAAACGTAAGAATAAACTTCATTCTACTTCCATTAAATATATCTCTCTTTATCCTTAGTCAGAATGGTGATTAAAGAACTATCGTAACTTTTTAAAATCACTTCTCAAAATCGCAAGAGATATATCTAAATAACAAAACTGTAAAGGAATATCAAGTGACAATATTAATTTATTAACAAATGTGTCTAACAATTACTTCTTTTGAAAATTTCTTATGTGAGAGTTTATGTAATATTTGATTTAAATGATACATGGTGTTGTGAAGATGATATGATTTGCAGCGAGGTGTTATTGGTTAACACAATCAATTTGCAATTTTGCATTTACTCTCTCGTCGTCTTCTTCTTCTTCTTCTTCTTCTTCTTCTTCTTCTTCTTCTTCTTCTTCTTTCTTTCTTTCTTTTTTCTTCTTCTTCATTTTTTTTATTTTTTTATTTTTATTATTATTATTATTATTTTTGTATGATATGTCACTTCAGATAGATTTAGAGACAATAAGGGGTATACTTGTGTCACCACCAGATACATTTCCTGACAATAATAAGCGGCGGACCCAACCGTGCACTGAAGATATAAATCTAGCTAGCTAGCTTTATTTTAATATGAAGGAGAGTGATTTTTCAATTATTATTCGTAGTTATATACGTAGTGTATATATATATATATATACAAATTTTATGGAGAAGAGAACTATTCATTTGAATAGATATGGTCACCATATCTTAATTTATTTACATTAATGATGGATATATAGCAGCCAACTATTTTGGTCGACCTAGCTTCTCCGGTTCTCCAACAACATCAATGTTACTTGAAAACGAAAAATATTATTAGGTTGCATTATATGCAATTCACAAGAAAAATACAAAATTAAAGCTTCAACGTACCTGCTGTGCCACGTGATCCGGTCGAATTCTACAACCTTAATTCTCCATGCATGAATCATCATTCTCTATGTTTATTTATTTTTATGTGCAATTACACACCTTTTAAAATTTATTGCTTCCGTTCATGAATATTTTTGTCACATTAAGGAGAACTTAATGCAATTTAGTCAATAAATAATAAATTTTTGAAAATTTTTTATTACCCGAACTTTGTTACTTCATCACTTTTTCTTTTTTTTTTTTAATTGTTACCCACACACATGTATTTATTAAAATTTGAATCTAAGTCGCACAATATTTTTCAACAAGTGTCGCTCTTACGTTCCGAATGTAATTTCACTCTCACGCTCTACGCATGTTGTCGTTTAAATGCTCACTATTTATGACATAATTTTGTCGTTTTAGTACTCTCACTTTATATGATTTAGATTTGAATTTTTGACTTCTTTTTAAGAAATAAAAATATGATTATTCGGTGGACACTAATACTTAGTTTACCTTAATTACTTGAAATTGACTGTTAATAGAGGGAAAAACACTGCAGTCGTTGTCCCAAAACAATATGATGGAATTAGAATCCCAAAAAGTAACAGTATTATTTATGAATGTCAATAATTGATGGAGTTTTATACTAGTAGGTACAATCATTTGATGAAAGGCCCTTTTTTTTTTCTTTGGCGCGCGCCCACCGCTCAGTGGCATGTTACACGCAGCTTCGCTTTTCTGGCAACATGATTATGATATGACTGCAGTGTCAATTTTTGCTACATGCCCTTCCCTATTATTTCTACTGTCTCTGTCACCCTTTTCATCTATACACACTTTAATATTTTCACCTAATTTTATTTTATTTAAACACGGAAATGGCATGTTTAGTGACATGAAATTAACACATTTATTTGCGTATTGTTTTTGTAATTTGTTTGAAATTAATGAAATCATGTAATTATTTTTCATATTTGAAGGACAATTTTAATTAAGTGGATGTTTAATCATGAGAAACCCTATGAAATTCACTACTCTATGATGAATCTGCTGAGATGCACTATCTCATAATTTTAGATAAAGTAGAGCAACATTTACTGAAGTTTGTCAAAAGCTAGACAGACGAAACTTAATTTATTTTGAAACAAAGACACCTCTCAAGTTTGATATAATTATCAAAAACACCCCAATAATAATAAATTGACATTTTTACCATTTGACTTTTATATTGACCGATCTGAATGTTGAAATTACCTTTTTAACTTCTATATTTTTAGAGATATATATATATATATATACACACACACACATAAATAATCATCGGAGAGGATGACGCGTCCGTTATGCAGAAAAGGCTCCGGCAAAGGGAGCCGACAAGGTGCGGTGACGGGTTTTTATCACAGCCGTCGCTTCTCCCCCGCGACCCACCAGCCATGGCTGACCACCAGCCATAAACAACCACTATCAGTCTTTGTCTCTCTACTCATTTTTCTTTCTCGACATAATATACACAACAAATCTCTCTCTCTCTCTCTCTCTCTCTCTCTATATATATATATATATATATATCACTTAATATCAGCCAGACATCCAATAGTATTTAAGTGGTGGTGGATTGTAAGGTTCTGAAATGATCTGATTAAACCACCACCAGTATGGGTTATTGGAAAGATGGGTTTGATGATGTCAATTTCAATTTCAATCCCACCCCAATCAAACCTCTGAATCAATTGAAAATTTTGCTCCTTCTTTCACCAAACTCAACCACCTAGTTGTGTCTCCTAATTTCATCAGATGGGTTTCGAATTGGGTAACAATTCAAGACCTCGACGCCCAACATCCATCGCCTGATCAATAACGGGACTTTTGAACCAATTCAAGACCGAATGGTCGAGTATGGTGTTTCAGTTTGTCGTCTTTGACCAAGTCGTCGTCCTCGCTGTTTTTTTCTCTGCCACAGGTGGTAGCGACTCCTTCTCCGACTTCGTCTCCATCTCCCGTGGTGACTGCCCCGACCTCCTCTCCGATTGCTTCTTTGCCTGCTCCCCCAACCTTTGACGCTCCTGCTTCGTCTCCCTAGCTTCAGTATCGACGTGCCTCCGTCATCGTTCTTTTCAGCTCCGGGAGAATCTCCGTCATCGACTCCCAATGACGCTGCTTTGAATAGATTGACGGTCGGTGGATCTGTGGCTAGTCTCTTCTTCGTGTCGGCGTTGTTGCTTTAAATCTTATCTGAAATTCCTATACTTTGTCGGAGTTGATGATTTATTTATTTATTATTATTTTTTTTTCGTTTATTCCTGGTTTTCTCTCATTTTTCGGTTTGGGTTGGGGGTGTTGATGACTGTTGTGTGGGTATATATATATATATATAAAAAGGTAATTTGGTTATTTAAGTATTTTGATATTTTATAATTAAAGTTAATAAAATAGTGAAGGGTAAAATGGACTTTTTATAAGTTTTAAGGTTTTGTTTGGATGACAAATTTCACAATGAGGTGTGGTTATCCAAAAATAGCCAAACTTTTATCTGTTTGTTCTTATTCCAAACCTCAAGGGGTGTCTCTATACTTTACCCTATACTTTTATTAAAAAATTTTGCTTTCGTAAAATATTTATTAAAAGGGTAAAGTACAGTCACACCCTCTGAGATTTGCCAAAAGGATACTCAGATGAAATTTACCTGTTTTTTGGACAAAAATACCCCCGGAAGGTTTAAAAATGAACAAAGATACCCCTTTATATGAGAAATTGACTAAATTACCCTTTGACTGTTTATAAGACTTTTTTAACTTTACAATTTAATAAATTGGACCAATCTACCCTCATGAACAATTTATGCATAAAAAAAAAGTAATAAAAAAAAAAAAAAACAACTTTATATTGTTCATTTTTTTTTTCTTCTGTTATTTACTTTATAAATGTCCCAACTTCTTAAAAATATAAATGTCTAAAATGATTTTTTGATCCAATACATATATTTCAAATAAATTATATTTTGTTATTACTTCTTTTCTTTTTCTTTTTCTTTTTTATTTTTAAATTAAGATGCTTAATTATTTCATCTAAAAAAATTAAACCAATCTTTTTTCCTTAAAAATAAAAAATATGGTACCAGTATAACTTTATGCATCTTAAATTATATATCAAATATTATGCATTTCCCAACATAAAAGGGAAAAATAATAATAATAAAACAAAGGAAAAAAAATAATAAAACAAAGGGAAAAAAAAAAAAACAAAACAAAACAAAAGCATGC